AGGGACATCGTAAGAAAGTCCCAGCCCCAGCCGGGCCTGGCAGATCACTCTGGGTAAGCTTGCCCCTGTCACAAGGCAAGGTTCCTCCTTTGAGCTGTCACCAGCCACAGACTGGTTTCCTTGCAAACTTGCTTTACTGCTCCCGAGCACAAATCACCCAGGATGGATCTCTGAGCATGCACAGAGTTCCTGGGTCCTAGTGGTTACCTCCATACGGAATGTCCACGCCCGGTCTCCTTTCCTTTCCCTCTCCGCACACTGCTCATTCAACTGGGCCTCCCGGCTGCTGACGCCTCGCCATGGGGTCAAGAGCAGGGGGGACCTGGTCTGCGGCCGAGAACCCCTCATCCTCAGAGGCCCTCCCATGGGCTGTACATCTTGGCCGTTCCCAGAAACGGCCTGGCTCAGTGCAGAGCCCGACCTTGCGACAATCACCTCCGCCGCCTGTATCTCAGAACCTCCACCTAGCCCAGCCTCCCCAGTCGCGCTGTAGTACGATTCAGTCCCAAATCCTCTGGGATGCAGGCCAGCTGTCCGTGAGAACGATTGCCATCCGCCATCCCTCTCTCCCCCAACAGCCACGGCCTCCTGATGGAGCAGGGAGAGATCAGAGAACGCTTTGCCCAGGGCCGATGGACTGCCATTTCAGCCCGGCACACTAGATTTTGCTGCAGCGAGCAAGGAAGGAAGGAAAGGGAAGACGCATCTTCCAGAAGAGAGCATTCCGTTCATACAGAGGTTCACCTCGGGAAACTCACAGGATGCTGGATGGAATAAACAGCCATGAGAACTAGTAGCTTATGGACGGCATTCTCCTCCTCGAATTTGCTCAACCCCGTTAAGAGTCCTCCAAAGCAGTGGCCCTCGTTTCATCTTGTGGTGGTGAATTCCAAAATTTAACTCTGGCCTGGGTGAAGCAGCCCTTCCACTGTTCTGAATTCCCCACCAATCGACCTGGGGACCTTGGCCATTTGGTTTCCGGAGATAACAGGCCAAAAGATGTCCACTTCCTCTTCAGCACAGAGAAACCACACCGTGCCCACTAAATGTTTCTTCCTCCAGCCACATACCTGAGGTCAGCTGGCTGGCTTTGGCGCACAGGACAATGTGCATCTTGAGCACTCCAATTCCCATCAGTTGCTTCCGCTCACTTGCTTCCACCTGTCTGCTGCCCATAGAAGCAACATATGAATAGTCTGAAGTGCCTGCTCCTGCCTAATCTTAGAAGCTAAGCAGGATCCGGCCTGGTGGAATCTGGATGGGAGACTTACAAGAAGGGACCCCCTCCAAAAAAACGGAAAAAAACCTTTGTGCCCAGCCCTCCCTATTCACCCAATCTTACCCGCACAACTTGGTTTTTCTTGTTTTGTGTTGTTTCCCTGGATGAAAAAAGTCTTCAAAGGGAAATGTTTTGCCGGTGCGGAAGAGGAGAAACAAAAACCGGCAGAAGCACTAAAAGGCATCAAAATGCACGAGTTCAAAACCTGTTTTGAGCAGTGGCAAAAATCTCGATAGGCGTATTGCATCAAACGGAAAGTACTTTGAAGGTGACTGAAGTTTGAACACGTAAAAATAAACACACGTTTTTTTAAAAAATGAATTCCTGGCTTTTTGGGGTCCCCCCTCGTAGATGTTGCGAACTGCTCAGACAGCTTTGGCTACGGGTGGTATAGAAATGCAGTATTAATCATTATTAATATTGCAGTGCATCGGGAGGCAAGTGGGTGGGGCTGCCGGCACACACGGCCCCGATTCAGGAGGCGGCAAGTGGGGAGGGGGTCACAGGAGGAGCGGCTCGGCTGGGGTGCTGCCTCAGCCGTGCACCCGCTCAGCCTGCGCAGCGAAAGGGCACGCTTGGCCAGCGCCTGTCCAGGGTTGAGGTTTCGGCAAGGGGCGGCATAGAAATGGCATAGAAATGTTATAATAATAATAATAATTAATAGTAACAACAACTTCCCAGGAAGAGCGCTGCATCAAAGGACCCCACCTGCTGAACCCACACCAGTGTTTTCACTCCACAACACACTATCACATCAATGTTGTGCTCAGGGCAGATTTCCGGCATCCGAGCAGGGGTCCTGAGCAAATTTTCCCTCTCAAAAGTCCCAAGCTTTTCCACCTTGGCGAGAACGTCCTGCAAGCAGCAACTGCTTGGTTAGCACACTTAGGGCTACACAGCTCTATCGAGATGCGTCAAAGGGTGGTTAAAACCACTTTCGCCATCCTTCTAGGGAAAGGAGGGATTGCAACAGACAGTGCTAAGCGCAGAAAAAGGCAGTAGTAATTTCTGCATGCGATACAAAGATGTGTACCAAGGTTATTATGGCACACCCCTAAACTGTGCTTGGTCCCAAGTTGAAGAGCAGGCATTTGCCAGGCCTGGAAACTTTGATGTCAGCCCCATAGCTTTTGGCACCCGGGATTCGTGATATCACCTCTTAAATGAGTGTCTTTGAGCATGTGCAAAGAGCCTTCACCTGAGCTGTGAGAAACCTCAGCATTGCCATGTGGCTAGAATGCGAGGAGATGGCGGGAAGTCTTTTTAGTCCTCTCTAGTTCCTAAACTGCCCACACTTCACCTGGGTTTTTGCTGCTCCCTTCTAGACACGCTGGCACAAGGCTGGCTAGGTTTCGATTTAAAATCAGAAAAGACGCAGCCGGCAGTCTCCGAGGGGGCTCGGGGCTCTTGTCTCATTTCCCATTGTCAGAAACAAGAAATGAAAGCAGCTGAGGTTTCTTAATTACAAAACACGTGCAAGGGACATTCTGTGCAAATAGACTTAGAAATACTATTTCAGGCTTCCCGAAGCACCTGGAGGGGGTTTCCAAATTGTTGAAGCAGGGGAAATAAGGAAGGCTAAGTAGAAAAGGAACCACTCCACTGTCCCAAGGAGCAGCGAAGACTTGTGCGTGGCACTCCAGTTGCCCAACAAAACCAGTACTCGTGGCATCGCCGTACCTACAGGGAAGGCTGGGCATCCACTCCAGATTTTGCTGTTAACACTTGGTCAAATGGAGATTTTGTTGCAGCTCGACTATGGAACCCTGTGACTACCACTCAGCAAGGCTGCTGCTTCCACTGCAGATTTCACTCCAACTGGTCAGGCGCTATCCATGACGCCAAACCCTACGCCCAAAATAGATGCAGCATGACAGAGAGCTCCTCAAAAATTCACAGTAAAACCTGGAGGCAGGCCTGCTGATGCTGGGTTACCCGCATGGCCATCAGCAGTCTTAAAAATCTGCCAGTTTTAAGCTTGGCCATAGGACACTCCCAACTCTAAGCATCCCGTGGGGAAGCTCAGCAACTGCCACGAGCCAAAGGTCCTCTCTCAGACACCAGACTGTTTTCCTTGCCACTTCCTTTACTGCTCCCAAGTACAAATCACCCGGAATAGATCTCTGAGCATGCACCGAGTGGTTTCCTGAACTCAAGCAAGCATTTAGCTCCAGGAACTCCCCCTATGCGCATGCCTGGCCACCATCCCCTCAGGAGGGGCTCTCTGAAAGCGAGCATGCCCTCTCCACACACTGGTCATTCAACTGGGCATCCCGTCTTACAGGGTCATGCGTGGGCACATGGCTGGCCTGCACCTGAGAATTCCTCATCGTGGAAGGCGCCATCCACTAGCTGTACCTCTTGGCCATTCTCAGAACTGCCTTGCTCAGCAAATTGGCCTTGAAATTATCTGCTCCTGTGCCTCAGAATCTTCACCTAGCCCATCCTCCCCAATCTCACTGGAAAGTGCTTCACTTTCCGACTCCGAATCGTCTGGGATGCAGCTACCCTTCTGCAGGAACGATTACCCAAGCGCTCAACTCTCCTTGAAACTCCCACAGCTGCCCATGTGTGTTCTTCCCTCCAAATCTTGCTGTCCCTTCAAACTTGCTTCAGCATAAAGTGCTTCGCTTCTAACTCGGCAGAGAAAAATGTCCTGTTCGAGCGTTCTGCGCATTTCACACCGCAGTCCTACAGACGGGCGCTTCAAATTAGATTCCTTTCTTGGGACTTAAGTTTCACCCCAAACTTCAGGTGCTTCCTCTGAGATTTGGTACCCACAATGGATCTTTTTCAGTTCCTGCTGCACCCAGCAATACAGGGCGTTCCACAGGTTGCCCCCACTGCAGAACATGCATGCCACCGTTGCTCCAGCAGAGACAAGGGGGTTGCACATGAGGGAGGGGCCAGGCCAAAAGGACAGAGGACACTGTCGCCTCCCGCCCGCCCCCCCAGCAGCTGGAGGACAGCCTGGCAGAAGCCCGGTTCTGCTGCTGTGCTGGGCACCGGAGGAGAGCTCCACACCCCAGCCTTGCAAGTGCTTTGGTGGGGCTCAGCACGGGACGATTCGGGGCAAGGGGCAGCGTGCGGGTGTGCGGCAAGGAAGAACTGGAGGAGGAGGGCTGGCCTCCAAGCCTGGTGAACGTTTACCAGAGCTCCAGTGGGCCACAGATGCGTTCTTGGCTCTGAATGAAAAAGGTTTGGTGATCTCCAGCATGCATCTGTGCTGGAACAGCTTGGGGGGGGGGGTCAATCCACCTAGTCACAGGTTCTGTGAAAGGGTTCAAGCAGGTGTGGGGTGGTCCAGGGCGTTCTACCTTCTACCATCCCTGGCCTAAGAGGTTCCAACCACCACTGGCCCATGACCCTTGTTGTAAGAGACTCTTGGATCTCCCCAACAGGCAGCCGGTTTCGATCATTTGGCTGCCAATCCTGGAGACTTCTCGTGGCACTTTAAAAACTAACTTGGATTACTGTGCAAACCTTGCTGTTTATACAGCGGCACGTGAACAGAACTACTCCTCTGGAAACAGGCGAGTTATGCTTCCATTGGTGCAAGCAGGGCAGCTTATTAAGTGGTCTGCAGGGGAAAACGCGCAAGAAATGCTGCTCTGGACAACTCGCGCAGCCGCAAGGACGGACTGCACAGGGTCCTGCTCCAAGCCCCGTCGCCACTTCTGAGAACACTTCCAAGCAAAAGACCAGTTCATGGACGCATACAGCAGGTGTCAGGAAAACCAGTATTTATTTATTTATTAAAAACATATGAGTTGAGAGATATATCATAGGAAAAAAATTATTTCAAATATACAGATACTATTGTCCAATTAGCCATTAAAGGAGAAAGAGAAATAAAACTTTCAGCAGACGAATTTAAAATCCCCCTCCCACCCTCGCTTCCCCCATTGGGATAAAAATCAAACCTGAACAACAGCAGGCATGGTTCTCCTCAATAAAGGCCAAGATGCGTCTAGGGGCTGTTTAAACTTGGAGAGGCAGGTGTTTTTGCAAGTCCCTGTTGCATTTAATTAACAAAAAACTAACAATTGTAAGTCAAGTGTCCATTAGTTCTTCCGCCAATTAGGACTTGGAAACAATATAAGTGATTGTGAAGACAACTCATTGCTTCATGTCAATTCTTAGGACTTTTGAACAGAATAATCATGTCTATCTAAAAAGTACAAAAAAAAGGGGGGGGAGAGAGAGAGAGAGCGAGAGAGAGCGAGAGAGAGAGAGAGAGAGAGAGAGAGAGAGAGAGAGAGCGAGCAGGTGGGGACAGGGAAGGATGAATAAAAGGTACTTCTCTTATACAGTTATATTACACAGCCAAGGGCCGTCCCAGCAAGCTCTTCGCAATTCCGGGATGCTTTTGACTAGAGAGGGAGGAGGAAAAACAAAAGGGCAAAGGTTGAAGTTAAATAGACTGTGGCAGGAAGTCCTATGAAAATAATGAATAACTCGACGTCTCTGATGCTGTACATGTTTCACCCATGTCACTTGGCTTTTGTTGCTCTAAAGGTTTAGCTTGGCTAAAATTAAACAAAGCGGCCCAGGGAGAGAATGAACACGATCTCAAGACCACAACAGGGATGCTGCCAAGTTGAGTCATCTACAGTTGCAGGCCAATGTAAGTGGACGCTGGCTTGTACGTTTGCATTCACTGCGAGAATGAGGGTCCATCTTCTATCTAGAAAAGCATCTTAGTACCACCCACTGCTCCATTTCCTTTAGGACTATCTTTTACCCCAATGGCAGCGACGTCTACCACGTAGGATCCGGCTCTTGCTTGATCTGAGTATTTTCTTCAGTCTGTGCCGAATCTGCAGAGACAAAGAATAGTCGAATGTCCTTCAGCCACTTTAAAGAAAAGCAGCACAGAGACAAGAGAATGCAAGCGCAACCGGTGGAAATGAGCATGGGGCAAAGCTCCAGGATAACCTTAACTGAGAGTGTGGACTGTTTCCCAGGTGGGAGTAGTTTTGTCTCGGGAGCAGCTGCTTGGGAAAAAATACAGTAAAAGCAGCAGACGGGGGGAAAGGATTCCAACGAGGGCACAGAATGGACGAAAACAGCTCATTGCTAGGCTCTTCGTACCACAAATGACATGGACTTTGGAGGTTCAAGATTCATTTCTTGGAAATGCTGAGGGGTTAAGGAAGGGAAAGCAAGCGCCTGTCAGGAGTTCCTCTTCAACATGGCCTCACTCTGCTGGGTTTGGGTTAGTGGCAGGGAGTCCATGTTCAAACAGCAGCTGCTCTGCTCTCCTCAGACGACAGATACTTACCTTCCTCCACAGAAACTTGTACAATTTGGTCTGATTCAACTGGCTCTAAAAGAAAATACACACGTTTGCTTGCATTGTTCCACCGACTGATTGCCAGCATCCACCAACCTAGGCAATAATGCTATCACTGCTTCCATCCTCTGGGAATGAAGCCAGCAAGCCAGGCCTTCTCATGGCACGTTAGCCTTTCAGTATGCCCTATTTCTAAATCTGCTGCGGCACTTTTAATTCTTTGCACTATTGCTATGTTGTATCCCCCCCTTTATAATGTAACTGAAACTTTAAAATTATGTTTCAGCATGTCACATTTTCTATTTCAACCGCTGAGGTCCTTCGGCTACTGGGTGACAGAGAAATGCAATCAATGAATTTATTTTGCTATAGTAGCTAGCTTAAGAACTGCTGCGAATTGTCCAGATAGCTTCAGCTACTGGGCAATACCAAATGAATATTATCATCACCACCACCATCATTGAGGGTCCCAGTGTATAAAATTTACAGTCACAGAATCATAAAATCGTAGAGCTGGAAGAGGCCAAGTGGGCATCGGGTCCAACTCTCTGTTGCTGCAGGTCACCAATTTACACCACCCCACTCAGAGGGCTGCCCAGTCAATTCAGAAATGTTTTAAAGCAACAAATCAGCACACACTACTCTTGGCTGTGGTTGGTTTTTGTTTTTTGCTGTTTCCATTTACCTTGCACCCCCGGCTCAGGGACTGGCACAGCTGGTGCTGGCGCTTCTGCTTCTGCTTTCTCAACAATTTCTACAAGAGTAAGCAGGGCCGGCATTAAGTTTGTACAAGGCTGGGCCCCTCCAGCAGCAAACGTGCTCAAATGTAAAACGCAGAACTGACTCGGTTTCAGGGTGCGATATACGAAGTGGGGGGCCATCCCTAGAGAGCATGCAACTGAGTGAGCGGGAGATGGCAGCAAAGCTGTCTTTCTCGGTGCCGTGCTAGCAGGGATAAAATGGCACACGGACCTCGCCTGCCTCTTGGAAGCACCAAGGAAGCTATTCACGAGCATAGCTGAGAAACATACTTACGGTTGTTCATCACGAGTCCAGGGAATGGTCTGTTGGGAAACACAGAAATGCAACAGCTCAGTGCCAAGGGATCCTTTTACCTAAGCCTAACATTCCAGATTACGTCGAGTGCTGGCCCTTGGCATCACACAGCATCCCCCTTAATTATGATCTGGGTGTGCGTAATTTGCTCGGACTTTTACGATGCACTGCAACGGGTATGCAATGGGTGCACAGGACCACCTGTCAGTGTCAGTCCTGTAATGTCTAGGCTGCTTTTGCAATTCTGCACCTAGTCAAAAAAAATAACTGACGTGATTTGTTTGTGAACACTCTTGCCTTCTGTGTAGCCTGTCCAATTCCTATTTTTTTCATGTTTGCTATTGCCTTGAACTTTTCACTAACTGGTTAATTACCATGTTTTATTGCCCCCCAATATTGCTGCTGCCTTCCGCATGGAACTGAGGCAGGGTTCCAACAAGCCGGCTTATCTGCTAGAGCAGGCAGTCTCGTAACTGCCAACTGGGCCATGGGTGGAACCGCAGGCAACCTCTCTTGCCCTTTACGAGCACCTCTCCCAGACCAGTTCTAGTTCCACCTCATGCAGAAGGGCAGCAGGAGTGCAACACACACATTTCGGCTATGTCCTCCCCCGGAGGGGCTGCAAGGATTTGCATGAATGTCAGCCGTTCTTGAAGGAATCGCCCCACCAGCAGGCTGCGTTTCCAAATCTGCACAAAAGAGCCCCAAAAGCAGCGGGCTGGAGCGTGAACATCTGCAGGAGAGCGCGCCAGGCGGGGGGAACTCTCCCTGTGTCTGCCGGGCAAATTCATCCCCTGAAATGCCCAAGGAGACTCGCTTAGATGTCAAGACAAGAGTGAGTACACGACTCCCACCCCGCGGGGAGGCAACGCACAGTAAAGACGCGGCGGGTGCTTCTGGGACCAATGTGCAAGCCATCCTGTTTCTTCCTAGCACTGAGGAAGGAGAGAGGCGCTGCATCTAAACACAAGCCCGGCTGCATGCAGGGCACCTCAGGAGGAGCAGCGCTCTCTGTCACATGCACCGACTGGAACTGCAAACGATCTACAGCGTGAGTCCAATTCATTACACAGGACCACAATAATCCCAAGAACTGGATGTTCTTCTCCAGCAGGCAGCTCTAGGCTCGAGGTGCCGCTGGACACCACTGGCAGCCACATACCTGATGACGGTAAATTTAATAAACTCTGCTGAATCCAGGATCTTCCGCATGGAGCTGATTTCAAGGTAGCTGGGAGCTTTGAAGGACACCCCCGGGGGCATTCCATCCACCACCACGCAGCCAGGGTTGACTGTGATCTTTCGGTAAGGGACCTTCACGGGACACCCCATGCCAATGGCTTCCCCTGCCGGGAGAGAAGCAGAAGTGGAGCAAGAGTGTGGTGAAGAACCTTGCCCGGAAGCTCTGGGTTTCCTTGCAGAGGGACCGGGGCGGAATGGCTAGTTTTTTCCTGAGCCCCTGCAACACAACTTTTGTGTCTGACTGTGTCGACTGACTGGTTTGCTCAAGTGGTATTTTAAATGCTTCTTCAGGCAGAAAGGGACAGAAGTCTCTCGATCTGATCCGGAGTATTTGTATCCCTTTCCCCAGCAGCCAGAACCCAGGGTCCCGTGGCAGCAAAGGATGCTCATTCTCTGCCCATTAAGTATGCGCTTTTCAAGAAAATGGAACAAAATATGGGACGTGGGAAGCAGGGCAGAGGGGCTTGGTTCATTCAATGGCTACAAGGGCTTTGACCAGTTTGCTTGCGACGGCTGTCAGAGCGCCTCTTAGCCAAGCGGCTTCAATGGTGTGCAAGGCTTAGGAGCTCTTCGCAAACACGAGCTGCGTGCTGCGTCCCCCCTGCTGGACTTGCCTGCCCCTTCCTTCTGCTCGTTTTACTCTGCATGCACCTGCTGCCTCCTAGTTCAGCATTCTGATGTGAGGACCTGGCATCCAGGAAGAAACACCCTAGCTTTTTTCTCTAGGATGGAAACATCACATTACCAAACTTCCGACTGAACAGGTCGTTCACTTGTTCTCTCAGCTGTCGGGCCTTCTCCACTTTGGAAGTTCTTTCGTCATCATCTGCAAGATTTGAAGAAGCAGCCGTTCAGCAGAATCTGTGACTGAGTGGAACATTGCGTAGGAACTCGTTTCAAGTCAGCAAAGCTGACTCACATCAAGCACACACCCAATTATTTACAAACTGGCTGCCCTTGATCAGTGGTAGTGCTCCTTCACATTCCTGGCAGGACAACAATTAAGTCTCTATGTGGCTGAGGAAAGGAGGTGGGAAGCTTTGGCTTTTGGCTAACCGTGGTTTTGGTGGTGTCTGGAGTAACAAGCCACAGTTTACACAAACTAGGGTCCCTTCCAAGCATGCTGACTTCCACACCATGGCTGTCAAAGCTGGTCTGCTGAAACAGACCACTGTTAATGCTAACCAGAATGTCCGGAAAAGCAAACAGTTTCCAAAGGCCTTCCCTGGCCACATGGGAAGGAAGGCACACGGTCCTGGGGTTCGGCGCTGCTTGCTCCAGCCTGCACGCACACCCAGCATGTCCCGGGGTGCTGAACTGGAAAGGCAAGCAAGGCCAAGTATCAGAAATGCAGATAAGTAGGTGCCTTTGGGTTTCCCTTCCCTCTGACAAAATGATGACTGCTCTGGCAGATTCCAATTCTGAGAAATGAAAATAAGAAACACGGGGCTCCTTGACTAAAGTTAGGGCACATTTAATGTGCCTGTTAGGACAACCTCGTTATTCAGTTTCAAGAGGTTAACAGGGATTATTAAAATGCTACTAGCAGGACAGCACTACTTCAGCCAGGATTTTTAAGTGGACCCTTAAGAAAAAGTACGTGTTTGATGGATCAATCAGAAGCCAGTAAAATGATTAAACTGTGGGGAGAAAAAACTGCTTTTTTTACTTAAAGGGGGAGTGGCAAAAACGGAAGAATACCTGGTATGGTGACTTGAATGATGTTCAGATCCTCCACCCCTGCAGCGGTGTTCACCACTGGGTCGGGCACCGTTACAGTGTTTATGACGGTGTTAGACAGACTGGTTCTTCCTTACAAAACAGGTGAATGCAAAGCATGAGCAGCACATCTCAAACACAGCCCAAATCTCATTTCGCATCACGGCCACGACAAGGTGGCACAGCAGGAAGAGCGGAGCGCCTGAGCACTCCGGAGCGGAGGAAAGAATGAAGAACGTGCTGGAAAGCACGGCACCCCCGCAGCCCTTTCGAAGCTGGGAGGAGGAGCGTTGTGTTGTTCGGATTATGAGGCGCAGGGTCCAGCGGGCATGGCCCCAACATCCCTCTGGAACGTGCGGACTGCTCTAGAGTGATCCCCAGAACTGTGCCCCATTTCGGATTGGCCAACGTCCTTACAAAGGAGCAGCGCCCGTGCCAGCTAGGACCGACTGAGCTAAGCTGAAACTCACTTTGAGGACTCGGAATGGCCGTGGCGCTTTCTTTGATTGCCGCCTCGAACATCTCAGGCCTGCAGAGAAACACAGTGAAGTTTTCATGTAAGAATATCAAGAAGTAAGCTCAATTCAGACACATGCCCACGGTTTCATTTCCCCCCCCCCCGAGGGCCAGAAAAAAAGTGGAGCCATTCACTATAAACACCCAGAGGGTGGGGTGCCGCCAGCGACTGAGGAGGAGGAAGCAAAAGCCTTGCACCCGGACACGGGCAGCCTTCAGCCTCCTTCAGCGCCACTCCTTGCAGCCTTCCCCCACTTCAGAGCCCTTCAAGCGCTTTGTACAAGCCTTCAGCCAAAGACTAGCTTAGAGAAAGCATCGAAGCTCCACGCATCCATCCTCCTCCCTGAAACGCTCCGGGCGCACCAAGGCACTCTTCCTGGTCTGTGGAAAGGCAGGCCCTGGCATCTCTTGCGGGCCACCTGGGAAGCCGGGAAGGACTTCCACAGAAAATGAGCTTAGAGGCGGCCTACTGACTTATTTTAACCACTTTTTTTAGTCAGTCATGGCATAGCTAATTTATCTTGTTTAGGATTTACATTATATTGTAAGCCATCCAGAGACGACAGTGATGGGCGGCCTATAAATGTCCCAAATAAATAAATATCGAAGAAATAAACATGTAGGGCAGTCCATCCTGTATTGTGCTTCCAGCCCTCCTGAATCCTTTGCCCCCCCGAGGGTGGAATATGTGGGGGTGCTCCCTTTGAATGGCTCAATGGTTCTGCTTGGCTATGCTCCACAAAATTGCCCCCTGCCACAACTGTTTTCTGTGGTAATGCACAATTCCTGGGAGGAGTTCTCTGCACCTGTGTTTAGAGGCACAAACTCTTCCCTCCTCTTGAAGGGACACGACTACTGCCAGACAAAACACTTCGTGTAGTTTATGGGACTTCACAGGCAATGTGCTTATTTTATCTGAACACCACAGATAAATGAGCTGACCCTTGTTTTTCACACAGGGCTGCCAGAGGCCGGTCAGCTCATGCAGTGCCAATCCCAGGTGCTTAGATTCTGCTGGCCCGCCGTTCATTTAGGTTTCCTGCTCCTGGAGAAATGCAAGTGCTCAGCACACTTCCAGCCTTCAGTATTCTTCCAGAGCAATGAGAAATGTTACAGGAAAAATACCGAAAGGGTTTTCTGCCCAGCTCGTCTGGGAAGTGTGATACTAAACTACACCTTGGATTTAGGTGAATGTCTGGTAACATTAGGAGAGAAGGGATTGTAGAACTGAGTGAAGAGAAGGGATGTCAGCGGCAGTCCTGTAGAGGCACCAGGAAGAGGAAAGGTTCCCCAGCCCGGCTGAGGATGCCGCAGGCATTTGTCTCAAATGCAGATCACAATTCCGTCCAGTTACGCAAGCCAACCAAGGTTTTCCTTTCTCTTCGCTTGCAGAAGGCCTTCACCTCTGCCCAACCACAGACCACGCAGGCGGCCTATCAGAACGGAGGCGATGCCGCTTAGTCCCGTGAGCAGGTGAGCCATGCCGTGCTGGTTTTCCACTCTCCTGGGTGGACTTTCCAGCCTTACTTGCTTTAAGCTCTGTTTTTAGTTATCAGGCAAACCAAGGCCCCTAAGGGCACCTTGTTTCCGCCTGCCACTCAGAAACATATCCGGAAGTGAGGACACTATTTAAGTCATGATGCATGATTTTGCACCAGATATAGAATCTGACTGACTGATCGATTCCAAGAATGATTCCTTACTGGCTAATCTTTCACACACTGACCGGGGTGACAAGCCACAGCGGGCTGTTCTGTTGTCTCAACCAGGACAGCCTTCTACATCCGTGACCTGCTTTGGGACTGCTGACCCCGGGATGGACTGTCACAGTGACCAAAGGTGTGCAGCGAGCCCCGTCAGCGAGCGAGCCCCGTGACAGGAGGGGCAAAGACCCCCACTACTCCCACCAGCTGCTCCCACCGCTGCCACGATCACAAGCTGGCTTTGTTTGCCGTGGCTTTGTTACCCTTTCTTTCCTGGATATTCCAGGGTAAAAGCCCAGCTTTTCCATGTCCCAATTACCTGGAGTCTCAGGAAAGACTGAGAAAGCATCCTTTTAAAAATAATTGACCAAAAAAAGAGGCACCTCTGCACAAATTCTACACTTAAATGGGTGGCCGACCAGTGACAACCCCTGCAATTTGCCCCTTGGGCAGTTTGGAGGCACTGCCACCGGCTGCCAGCTGAGAGACTGTGGAAGACAGTATCTGAAAAAGCGGAGGGAGGGAGGGAGGGAGGGATAACCAGCACGATGAGTGATAAAGGGGCCACAACTGCAGTCAGGAAAGGAGACAAGGTGGCTTTAGCCAGCAGGCCTCCTCTAACGCTGGCTGGAGGCCCAAGTGGGAAGGCAGAGCCAACTGGTGGAGACTCCCATCGTCCATGGGATGCACCACGGGTTGCCTTGTGAGCAACCGATCCGCCACAGCTCACCTGCAGAATGGTTTGCAGGATGTGCAAATAAAATGTGTATTTCTTAATACAGTAACACTGATCCTATTTCTTTAATCTTCTCGACAACCGATGGTGTCGAAGTTTGCCTAAAACAACCTGATGGAATAAGCATCTGTATTCATCTAAGCTGTGCATGCGGCTTACTTTTTAATGATAAATTTTATCTTAGCTTTGTTTCGAAGTATCTTTTCCAATCTTGGAATACCAAATGTAGATGGGCGGCGGAATGGCACCCCCTCAGGAAGGCCTTCGACGTAGAAATCCTCAGGGTACGACTCGAAGAGGGCAAACGGGACTTTCACAGGCTCCGTCAGTCCAAGGGCTTCCCCTAAAATAAAATGTACCTTGACATGTTTGGGGAGCTCATCCTTCATGGCATTTGATTTCTAATGTTCAACAGGGCTGGGCCAAAGCAGGGAGGGGAGCTCTTTCTTGCAACCCAGGCCACCCACTAAGCGAAGCCCCTCAGACACGCAACTGGAGCTAGCACAGCGCAGGGGCAAAGTATCCGAAGAAAAGGAGGATCTGGTCGTCCCCTTAGAACTACAGCAGCTTGAACCTCTGCAGAAAAGTTGTGCCCCTACTGGATCAGCAACCAAATATTAAAAGTCAGTATTAAGAATCTCTAGATGTTAAGCTTGGCGGGAGGTGGGGAGGGAGGAGCACTGCACACATACACAAATGAATCCAACTACTGCTGGTGAAGGGGAGAGAAGGGTAGCCCTATTACAATAATCAAGTTTATCTCTTGAGTATGACTATCACACAAGGTCATCTATAGCATTAAATGTTAAGTAGCTGAGGTGTCCATTAAAAGGCACCAAAGGGGGGGGGGAGCAGCCAAGGAGGTGCACCGAGAGAGATGACAATTTGGCGTTTGGTTTTATCTGCTCAGCATCTCCCTGAGCCTTCAGCTACTGGTGAAATACGGACTCCTCACCCACTTCCCGTGACTCCTTTTTGGAGTGCCCACTGCGGCAATTTCTGCATCAATTGGCAACTGTGGGCAAATTAGCTTCAATGCAGTCTCACCTTGTCAATTTCCATGTATGTTACCTACGCCACCTGGCTGCTCCTTTTGACAGCTGAAATATACAAGGAAATTGACCAGGGAAGACTACATATATCTGACAACCACAACGGCACACTTGTGTAAGACTAACAAGATTTTTTTTGAAAAATATGAACACATGCACAGTTTTCTGGGACCACGAATGGTGGAAATCGAGGACAGCTGCTCAAAATTGCTGCTTGGGCAACAGTGGAGGGGCCGCCACTGGTGGCAGTGGGGTGAAGTTGCAAAGGGCTGGCAGGGGTATCGTCAGTCCTCCTAAGCAGTCATGCCCACAGCCAACAATCCAGGTTTGGACAGCATGACAACCCAGGGTGGACTGAGCAACTCCCAGGACGTGGCTTGTCGAGCACGGCTTCTAGATGACAAAGGAGCCATCCTGACCTCTGGGTTCGGAAAACAGCACAAACAGCTCCAGGATCTCATGAGACTGATGATCTGGCACAAAGCCCCTTGGTGTGCTACACAGAAAAGCATGGCGTGAGAACCTAGGGTGGGTTGCCGGGTCATACAAACCCGGAATGCTTCCAGCTGTAGGGGTTGGCCGCACCCCTGAGGGGTTGCCCCGCCATCCTGATCTGGGGGACTGATGCGATCTTGGTCCAGGGAAGCAGCAAGCCTGCTGTCCGGCACGAGCACGGCGGAGTGCTGAGGCAAGGCTTAGGATCAGCAGGGGTCGCACTGCTAAGGGGAAGTTCTGCTTGCCGCCCCGTCTGCACACAGACCGACCCCACACCGTGGCTTTTCCCTTCGCAGCTGGCCTTTTGACCGCTGGCAGGAGGAAGCCGCAGGAGAAGGACCCATCTGCTCCCCCGCCAGGCAGCCCAAGTCAATGGATGCTGCCTCCTGCACGTGGCAGAGGAACACCGGGGCACTGACAAGGCAAGACCTCGTGTTTCAGCTTCCTGGAGGGTGTGCGCTGGCACACCTCTAAAAGAACATCCCCCCAATTTTTTAAAAAGATTACACAAATATCCACACACATTTTGAGTGACTAGAAACTAATCCGTTAAAAAGATGGCAAACCAGTGGCCGTGTGGGCACTGGGAGAGGCTGTCACTGGGAGACGCTACAGAAGGGCTCCCAAGAGGAAAAAAAAAAGGGGGTGGGAATGGCGACCCAAAGTGGGGTCACAAATGACGTGGGGAGAGGAAGGAAGTCGGGTTCAGCCACCAATCCCTGGCGATAGCAGTGGGAGGACTGAAGAGGAAGGAGGGGGACAACGTCGCTCATGTACAACTGACACTATTAATACAGGCTTGTCATGCGGTGGCTTATGTGGTCATGCGAACTCGCCTATTGTCACGGCAAACTTTGGGGGAAATGGGAGCAGTACTGCTGATTTACTGGAAGCTGTTATTTTACTGATTAAGTTTTTCCCGAAAGGGCTGAAGAAGTGCTTTTTAACAGGCCCAGGATGCTTACCACATTTTTCATTAAAGAGGTTTTCAACTTTTTGTTTCAGGTCAGTGATCTTGGCATTCCAGGCCTCTGTAAAAAAAAAATCAGAAGGGCAAACTGATTATTGGTCCCATCGTGTCTTCACAGCCCACTACTTCTTCACACGTCAATCATCCTTCCTCAAGTTTCCAGCCATGCATTCTTTATGAGCTTATGGTGTTTCCAGAACATAATAGTTATGAAAACTGCAGTTTCAAAGTATTAAAAGTATGAATTTGAAATTTCAAAACAGTTTTTAGCAGGGAACTAAAGAGTCCAGTGTCATTACTCCAATTCCCATTTAAAACCTTGGCTGCAGGATTTTCTCAGCTGACCCGAGTTAATATTGGCAAATTAGTATTTCCTTTCTTTGCTACAAAATGAGACACAAGCAACCTGTGTTCACAAATTGAAGAATTTTGGGTTCTTCTGAGCCTGCCGTGCAAAAGCCTGGCAGTGTGGGCAAAGCTCCATGCAGTGCTCCTCTCTCAGGAAAAGGCATCCTGCGCAACCATTGGTGGAAGGGTGGCAGCTTCCACAAAGAACACCCTTCCTAAAAGTCGCTTCAAGCGCCATCAGGGGAGAGACAGGAAATCAGCAGAAATAGTGAAGAGAATTCCAAAAAACAGATGACGATGGGGGGAGGGTTAGAGAGGGGTTTCTGTTGGGGGAAGGGTTCAGGGATCCTTTTCAAAAAAAGGAATAAGACAAAGTGCGAGTGGAGCAAGGGAGAGGAAAAACGATCAACGGAGGAGCAGAGAAAGCTCGAGAAAGGTGATACAAATGGTGGAACACCTGGACAGACCCAATACAACCACAGCAGCGGCCAGAAAAGAACTGGGGGAAATGGAGGCAGCCCCTCCTAGATACACCAGGAGGAAGGAGGGGCAGGGCTAGGATATGGGTCCTCAAACTACGGCCCACGGGCCGGATCTGGCCCACCATGCCCGTTTATCCAGCCTGCCTTTTGATGACGCGAGCTGGAGGGTGGCCAGGCCAGGGGCGGCCGGTCTCACTGCCGCCTCGCCTCGCCCCGCTTCACCGCGCCCCTGCCCACCCTCAACCGGTTTCAGTCTCCTATTTGCAAAAGGGAAGGCAGCAATGGGAGCAACATGACTGTGAAGGAATCTGCCCACTGGAAGCACAACATACAGAGGCAGAAAGGGACAAGGTGCCTGCCAAAGCTGTCCCACTGTGAGCTCAGCCAGTGCGGGACAGGAACAGAGGGGTCTGACTCCTGCTCACTCAACCTCTCACAGGCCATTTCGGAAGAGAACTGATGAGGACTCGCTTCAGTGCCCCACAGCTGCTCCTGTGTGGTCTCTTGTCCCACCACACTTTCACACCAAGTTGCAGCAAGAATCCCCCCAAACCAGATTAGAAACTAATTAGAAAGCAGCAATGCAGAGTTTTGTCTTTATTTGGGTCTTTCAATAAAACTGAAGAGCAAGAAGAGGCTCAGATGGCAGAAATGCAAAACTTCACGCTACATGTAATTTATGAAATCTGCTGCCACAGATGTGCCAATGGCTTAGCTGGTTCGAACTTAGTTTTAAAGCTCAAAGCCACCTAGTGAGTTCAGGGAGAGATTCAAAACCAGATACCCACCGAAAAATTTTTAATGAATGACGGTATAGAAAAACTTTAACTAAATATACAAACAAGCCAAGGGCTAGTGGTAAGGACGAAGTGACACCATCATCTGGCAGCGTTCTCTTGTAAGGATTTCAACTAGAACTTACCAAAAGAAAATTCTCTTCCCCTTGGCTTAAAACCCACATTGGATCCATTGGTTTGAGGATTTGTTCTGACTTCTGGTGTTGCCGTTTTATTAGCAAGACCTGCATTAGAACACACCAAATACCTCCCGTATCATCCTGGTAGGGCTTGACTGTCACAGCAAGGCTACCCTAAAAACTTGGGTCTTGTAGGGAGGTGTGCGAGGGACACAGGAGAAGCGGCTCTCAACTGAACGAGCAGCTCTGCAATCGGCTAGATAATAAATTGAGGAACTGCTTGATGGACCCAGAGCCACAGAACCATCCATGGCAACCATCTTGGAAAAGTCTCTCCTGCAGGGCAGGGATCTCTTAGCTGATGCTTCTTAGGGTGGCTCTTTTCTTTAGTGCAACGGGTGTTTCTTCTACTCAAGCTGGAACAGATTTGCTCATTTGTCAACCAGAAGTTTTTAACTGGCCCCTTTAATATCAGCTGTGAAAAATTCTCCCCATGCAACCCACCCTACTCTGTGATCCTAAACAGTGAGAAGATATTCCCTCGAGCAATTCCTACCCCACTATCTCCACAGTCCCTCCTCCATAAATCAGCAAATAAGGATCCCAGAAGAGGTGAAAGTCTCAGCAGACAAGCAGAGGTTGTTTCATTAAAGCCCTAAAACCCACATTATACACACACGAGTATAACGCCTGTCTTGCACCAGCCCAACAAAGGCAAGCATCAAATCTGTGCTAGGAATGAGGATTAACGAGACCCGCTAATTGCTCTTCCTTGCCCTGCTCCAGAACAGCTTTTGCTTTGGGAGGCAGGCTGTACTTTTCACACAGAAGAAGAGAGAACTCTTCAAACCGTGTATTCCTAAGCAGACGTCGTTGGGAGATCCCATACCTTCATCCACCGTAACTTCAATCTCTGGAATCTTGGAGTTGGTTACAGGACTTCGGACAGAGCTTGAGCTGTTCGGACTCTGTGATCCTACAAAGGAAGACACACCGTTTACTGCCAGGCTGTATTGCGCAACCAGGAACAGTCCACCACAGAAAGCCTCTTGCACGAAATACACTTTTGCACTCAGAAGTCATTTTGCATTATCAGTGCAATGCGAGGACACATTCGTCACCCTCAGTGACAGCAACTCCTCTCCAGTGAGGCGCCACTCCTGAACCACAAGAGGAAGGAGTGCTTGAGCTTAAGCTAGTTCACAAACCAGCATGCAGGGGGAGGATGTGAGGATATCTACTGAATTTCAGTTGTCTTGCTTTTAAGACTGCAAAGCATTGCACAGCACAATCCAAGGAAACAAAGCTGCAACTCGCAACTAGCACATTTTTCCTAGTCACTTACCCGAAGTGTTCACTTTACTAGCCAATCCAGGAGGCAAGTAAGAGGTGACAAGTTCTGGCCTATCAATTAAAAAATACATTTTTATTAAGGCACTATTAAAGCAATGCAGGTATAAAAAAAGGGAAGACTCTAACAACCATGTGCTTACTTTTAGGGGGAGGGGAGCTATCTAATAAGTGTGAGGGTATTGTTTTTGTAATAAAGTTCTGGCTCGGATGTGACAGCTCTCTTTTTAATTAAGGTGGAGAGAGAAACCATCAGAAATGTTACTTTTTATCAGCACACATGCACGTCAAGATCTGATTCGGTATCATCTGACAAGGGATGTCTAAAGGATAGTTCTTAAGTTGCAAACACCGTTTTGCAATGACCCACCTTTATGCGCCTTCCAGCTCTGTGCTCTTAGAAGATACCTCCCCAACCATTTTTTTAATAAGGGAAGGCAGGCCCAAGGAAAAGGGTCCAATTGTTACTGTTTTTCCAGCAAATCTGGAACCCAGCAACTGGTACCACGGACCACCAACCTTCCTATTTCACACTGACAAATTTTTCACACTGCAGTCACACTGACAAATTTGAAATCACAGTTTGTTTAGAGACAAAAGCTGCTCTGGTACTTCTGTAAAGGTTTCTGACGGATGTGTTTCACTCCATGTCATACACAAGTTTGTCTCAAGTTTCCCCGAGTCTCCAAAGCAAAAATAAGACCCATCTAGTCATTTAAACACCTTTTTAAAAATCACCAAAAACCCGCTAAGTAAAATGTCTAGCCTGAACTAGCTGCTACTGAAAAGATTTCTAGTGTTACTAGTAAAACAACTTTTTTTTAAACAAAAAGTAGAGGGAAATATTCCATCATTAAGTGAATTTACCTCACTCCATGCTAAATCCCAGCCAGTATACAGATGAAATCTAAGAACACTCACCACAAAAAACTCAAATAACCAACCAAACAAACAAATGAAAAACACCCTTTAAATATTAAACTGACAGCTTACTTCTTTACAATGAATTTGATTTTTCCACTCCCACGGACAATTCTTTCCAGCCGAGGAATTCCAAACCAGGTGGGACTTCGGAAAGGGATGCCTTCAGGCAAGCCTTCGACATACAAGTGCTCTGGGTTCGACTCGAACACAGGGTAAGGGACTTTCACTGCTTCACTGAGACCCAGTGCTTGTCCTGGAAAGAAAGCGGCAAATCTGAAGGAGCTCTGTGGAACAGGCGAGATCAAAGGGCTGTTTTAAAGGCTGCTTACACCAAGCATCTCTTTCAACCTTCAAAAGCACTTCCCAACAACGATTTCATTCAGGTGTTGTTGTGACAATGGGGAAAAGGTGGGTGTTATACTTCTGTTGCATTTCCACCAAGCAGCAGAGCTACCAAATAAATATCCAATGACCAACTTACCAAATTTCAGATTAAATATCTCTTCTACTTGCTTCCTCAGCTTTGTGATCCTGACATTCCAATCTTCTTTGACTGGATTTTTTAAAAAAGCAAACAGCATACAATTTAAGCATTTATCATGAAATGGGCAAATGTGCCCACACGTTGAGTTATCAATTCAAATGTGCCTCCTACAGATTTGTGTGTATTGCAAAAGAACGATAATTGAATTGATATGAATGAATGCATTTATTTATTTATTAAAAGCTTTTATATGCCGTCCTTTATATAAATATCTCAGACGGCTTACAGTTCTTTAAAAGAACAATTCAGAACAACAACAATTTCCAATAAATGAATTAAAACAGTAATAATGTATAGAACAATAAACAGCAATTAACACAAAATGAACACGAGCGACTGTACATTAAAAGCAACTGATTTTAAAATGCCGTTTAAATAAAAAGGTTTTGACCTGATGCCGAAAAGAGTATAAGCTCGGCACCAGGTGTACCTCTCCGGGGAGCACATTCCACAATTTGGGCACTACCACAGAGAAGGCCCTCCTCTGAGTAGATGTCGTTTTTACCTCCTTCAGGAAGGGTTCCCGGAGCAGGGCCTTTCCCACAGATCTTAAGGGGCATGAGGGCGTATAAGGAAGGAGACGTTCCTTCAGGTATTCTGGTCCCAAGCCATTTAGGGCTTTATAGGTCAAAACCAGCACCTTGAATTGGGCCCAGACTTCAACTAGCCTTAGGAAAACTTTTGAAATGTTTTACATGGGTCTTACACTTTTTTACCCATACAAAATTATTTCAAAGGTGTTTCAATTCACCTCAACTCATATGACTCTCTGAAAGCATCACTGTTAAAAGGAAACAACTAATTGGCTTACAATGATGCCTGAAATGAGAAGCCAGGGCAACAAGCTAGAAAAGGCATGGTTTGAAGTGATTTTTAAGACTATGCTCTAGCAAGAAGTCTGAATTGATGAATCATTTAGGGCTAACATTCTCCTCCATCTTGAGGAGTAGAGCCTTGAGCAGAAAGAAAATAAAAGCAAGCAAGACATAATGGCTTCCATGCTTGGAAGCACTAAATTAAAAATAGCATTAAGACATTGGTTGGTTAAGTCACTGTACCTGCAGCATCTTATCTGGACTGATTTTTAAAATTACTGATGGCCCATATTTTCAGTATAGCAACAATAAATGTGCATACAGATATAAAATTCTCATCTTTTGCTGCAACAGTGCAAACAACAGGATTGTCCTATATGCTTGCTCAATCCCAACCTCATTTTAAGCTTGAAACTAAGACTTAGTTCATGATTTGGTTTCTAAATTAAAAACTATCCAAGCACCAAAAAGCAATCCGGTTTAAGACAGCTTTCATGGGAATAAAGACATGCTTATTAAGAAAACATCAATTTCATCTTTAGGCTTCTGTAAGATTTTAAAGATATTTTTGCCTTATTTAACTTACATGCATTTTTAATTGTTTGCACAACTCGTTTTTTTAAAAACAAATATACTGTATACATAAAAAACACAGTCAATTTGTGACAAAACCTTTACCACAATATTCAGCGCCCACCCCACAAAAAAGAATGTCTTCGCTTCCTGCGCGTTCAAACACATTGGCAGCTAATTTTGTTCCATAGTATTGGATCAGAAACACGGATTCTGGGTTTTATTTTTTCACTGCGCCAAAGTATACCAAAAAAGACAGCCTTTTATATAGACACAATTACTTTAACAGCGACTCAGCGCCCAATCTGCTAAGGACCACCAGGCCCAGCTGTGTCCTCAGAACTCACACCAGTATCTGGACGAAGGAAACACATGGACATTTCCAGTCATCGATCGATCGATCTATCTCAGTGAGGCCGACCTCACCAAGGTCTACCTCAGTAAATACAGAGGTTCCAAGCTCGTGCACCGTCTCTGTGGGTAAAGTAGCTCGAATACGTTGAGAAGGGGGCAAAGGGTGTTTATGCACAAGACATGCTGGGTCTGTTATCGGTGTTTAGACACCTTAGAAGCAACCATCTTACCAGGCATGTTTGTTCTTGGTTGAGTGATCTCTGTGGGAGTGAATGTTAGTAGTTCTGGCCTGTAATTTGGAAAAAAAAAGAAAAAGAACTATTAACAGACTGTGGTAGTGAATCATTACTGCCTCCTCCCTCGATTGTTTAGCCTGAAGTACTTCTCCACTGTGGTCTGCATTGCAAACCCTACTTAGCAAATAGGAACTGATAATCTTTAGAAGGCAAAACAGGATTCCGCTAGCCCATTTCAAGTACCAAAAAGCAATAGCCAAGATAGAGAAATGCATCTGGATTTACACGGCTCTCGTAATACTTTAGAGCACGGTATCATCTAAACTGGGGTTGGGCAACTTGGGGTCCTACTGCTGGTTTGGCCCACAACTCCCACTGGCCTTGGCCAATGGAGAAAGTAGCCAGGGACAATAAAAGCTGTAGGCCACGAGACAAAACAAAAACTGGGGGCCATTAAGTTGCCCACTCTGACTTAAAGTCAAGTGGGTTCATTGTCCTTTCTCTGGTGCTGCAGTGAAGCAATCCAGAAGTAACTTTGCAGTACGTGCATGCAAGAGGGGAAGAAACCCCACTTAGTTCTGACCTAAGCACTAGTTAAAGGGTGAAGCAGCTCTCTTCTAGCACAGACAAGGTGCTAGCAGGATTAGAAAGAGAAAGTTACTGGCATTAGGCAGTGGAAGTTTTATCGCCAAAAGATCACAGAAGGCTAGGCAGCTAGAAGTGAATTCTTACGAAGTTAGTTCTAGACTCTACTGTCTATCAAGTTGGAACTGTATCTTTCGCATGGACCATTCAACCTCAAAATATTGAAAATGCAAAGGTAGTTGATCTTACTTTTTTATTATAAATTTTATCCTGTTGCCCACTTGAAGGATTTTCTCCAGCCGTGGAATTCCGTACCAGGACGGGCTCCGAAAGGGAATATTCTCTGGCAGCCCCTCCACGTAAAGATCAGTCGGATGAGCCTCGAATTTTTGATAAGGGACAGCCTTTGGCTCAGTGCTCCCCAGTGCCTCAGCTGTTAAGAAGCGAGCCAGATAACTTGTAAGTGGACGACGGAGGCAGGATTCATTGAGTTCCGAAGCGCAGCTCAGCTTTACAAACAACCCGGCTGTACTGCCTGCCAACTGAGAGCGGCTGAAAATCTTCTCTGGGCTTGTTCTGAAGCTTCAGAACCCTCATGGGGGATCTTCACCAAATTCTCCCTGCCTGCAGCCAGTCTGGAGCTCAGGAGAAAGTCCTCCAGCACCCATTTACAGCCCAGGAGCCTGGGCCTTCGCTGAACTAGGTGATGACAATGTTGGCGCCAGGGGAGCCTCAGCAGGGGACCACCATGGAGAAGGCCCTTCTCTGAGCTTCCACTTTCTGGGCCTCCCTCGGAGGCAAGCAGGTAATGGGAAAGGAGCTGTCTGAACACATGCCAGTCCTCAACCCTCTCCTCAAAACCCATCCTGAACTACAACAAAGCGAACTCACCAAATTTTTTGCAAAACAACTGATCGACCATCTTCCTTAGTTTGGTGATGCGAGCATACCACTCTTCTTTCACTGCAGGCAGAAGCAGAAGCAGGGCTTTATCAGCAGAGTGAGTATTTCCGAGGCGAGCCCCCCTTCACTTTGCCATCGCAACAGGCGCGAGTTACAGGAATGAAGGGTTTTAGAAAGGGTGGGTGCAGTAAACGATCGGTAGAATCCAGAGAAAGGAAGGAATGTAAAGGCATCTTTGAGGAGTAAAAAAGATATGGTAAATGACCAGCACAGGAAAAAGAGGCTGTAGCCACTGGCAAATACAGGGGAGCCCGAGAAGGCCTGCATGAGGAGCCAAAGAAGGAACTGAAGTAGGCAGACAGTTACAAGGGGGTGGAAAGGCACCCAAGATGCCTGGCTGAAGGAGGCCCACTTAAGAGAGTGTGCCCCAACAAGGGACCGATGTGAAAGGATGCGTCAGTAGAAGCACAGGAAGCTGCCTAATGTATCACAACCTTCTTGCCCAAAGCGCTCTGCTCCAGCTGGCCATATCCCTGCAGAATCTTCACAGCTGGTTCAAGATGCCAGGAACAGAATGGGCAGCCTCCAGAGCAAAAATGCCACCCCCCCCCCGCCCCCAGCTACAGGGCTCCCTCTCCCTAGAGCAGCAAACATTCCAGCGTCCCTGCTGGCAGAAGTTGGCAGGATCAAGTTCAAGTGGGGGATGCTGGGTGGCATGACAATGCAAATGTTCATTCGCTGCTCTGGGACTTGTGGTGGCCCAGCCCTCGGCAGTCCATTCTCCCGAATGTCCGGGAGTTCGGCTTCACGTTGTCATTCTTAATTTTATGTTTGGATGAAGAAAAGAACGCTAGCTCCGAGCGGTGCTTCCACCCAACCAACCACAGCTCAAATATACAAAGCCAAGCAAAGCAAATTTTTGTCCTCAGGACCAGTTCACTGAAATGTTCACTGGGTTTTTATGCTACTCTTCAAGAAGCATTTCCAAAGTGGCTCATAAAGATACATACAAAATCAATAGCCAAGTATCAGCAATTCAGTTCAGTTACAAAATAATTCTCATGTGCTGCATTAACATGATTAAAACAGCTTTAACAGCCGAGGAAATCAAGCCACAGCCTGGCATTAGGCCCATGTGCCCCTAAAAGTTGGCACCAAACCAACCTCCCTGGAGAGGGAGGTCTACCAACAGGGCATGATGACCCCAAATACCATCTCCTTGCTCACCACCAAATTTAACTGAGGACCACCAGTCAAATCTAATCCAACAGGAATATCCTGACTCTTACCTCCTGCAACAGGCTTGTCTAATGGCAGATCTTCTCGTGTGGAATTCAGTAATTCGTGTCTGTGAACAGAAGCAGAAATATACAGTTTGGCAATCCACCCACTGCAATTGCCCTACCACCCATTTTAATTCAAAAGCAAATGCTATTTCAGCGGTCCAATACAACTTTCTGAAATCCGATTAACAGACGGAGAGGAACCAGGAAGAGCAGTCTAGAGTTGCACAGGTCTAAATAACGGCAGAGAGATAGACACCCTGAATATGAGAGCTGTCACAATATGGCTGTTCTGTGGGCAGGAAAGCACCAACAGCTCCTGCACAACCCAAACTGGCTGGAGCAGGGTTTCCAATGTCTCCTTACTGCAAGTGACAGATGAAGACCAAATATTTTTTTCCACAGGCAAAAGCCAACCCAATATTGCTAAGCAGCAACTATTTCACACAATTTCCAAGAAACCTGACACAGTTTATACTAGGAGAACATGATGACAGGCTGAGAACAAGGACCACCACCAAAAGGAATACAAGACCATCAAAACTGTGGCTTCATCAGGAGAGCCTAACAATTTCTAGGGACGAGCCTAAATCACAGATCGCCTTTCACTGACGGACCAGCCAGTCATGACTGAATTTCTAGCAATATCTGGCTATGGTTCTAAATAGTTGGGCTAGGGGGTATGATAATATTTTGAATTCTTCTGAGCACAGGCAAGGTAATGAAGATGACTGCACCCAGAATACCAACATCGTGGATTCTTCTAAGCCCAATACCTACCAAATGTTAAGCACACAGACCAAGGGAATGTGTCTCCACAGGACAAGTATGGAATGAACTCGGCCATTCTTACAGCCGTAAGAACAAAAAGAACCCTGTTTTCCCTTGTTACTGCATGCTAAAAATGTCATGATTATGTTGCATTACTTGGGTTGCAATACTGGAAAACCACCCAGAGAACTTTGACTTGGGGAAACTGGGAAAAGGAGGATATAAACAATGAGTATGTGTGGAGTGCTACGAAAACAGTTCAGAAGATTCTTGAAATCACTCACCCACTAATCAAGACCAGCCTACTTACTTCTTAATTACAAATCGTATCCGTTCCTTCGCCAAAAGAATCCTTTCGAGGCGTGGGATCCCATAAGTGGAGGGTCTTCGGAAGGGAATGCCTTCTGGCAGTCCTTCCACATACAAATCTTCAACATGAGACTGGAAGAGTGGATACGGTATAGATACTGGGCCTTTTGCATTAATAGCTTCAGCTTTAAGAAAATGAGAGGAAAAGCAATTTAAACCTAGCATGGGATTCCAAATTATTCATTTTGAACACACACTGAATCCAACACAATAGCATATTCCAGTCAGCATAATGCTCTTTTTAGAACATATTTTAAGTAAATTAGAGCAATACTACATATCTTAGGCTCAATGCCACACCCTACTGTGATCTGGCCGAACTGTAGGTAGAAACTGAGCCCTGGTCTGATCTTCAAAAACAGACCAGAGGCAAAGCATGGTACAGAACACCTTCTCTCAGTCTCAATTTGCCTGCAGTCTCCGGTACCGCCCACCTGCACCCACCTAAGGCAGAGCAATGCTGATTCAACCTGCGCTGACAATTTGTCCAGTACACCAAGCCATAAATGGCCAAAGCCATGCTTTACGAATCCACTACGAATCACTACTGCCATTTAGTGGATCAGTGTTAGTTGCCCATCACACCACACTATTGCAAAGGTTCCTTCACCGGTGTTGTGTATTATCTGCCCAGTCACAGAGGTCCAGTTTACCTGCTGTATGCAAACACCTGCTGTGCTAGCGACTTGGATGATGCAGGCCTGGAGCTGCATCCACCTAAAAGGGCAACTCTTTCCACATACGGCCAAGGTGCAGATTCCATGGGGGACATCTCCTTTTCTCTCCGACTTCTCCGGAGGGAGGAATGCAGGAAGGCGCGAACAACTGAGCTCGAGCGCCTCCTGCCTCGGACAGGCAAGACGGAGAGGAGGAGGAAGGGCCTGAAACCTTATTCTGCTGGGGATGAATACAGAGGCTCTTCCTCCCACACGCCTCTAATTCTGGATGGAGCATCCCAGGGCAAGGAAGCGGAACTGGCATTGGAACACCGTGCATCTATTTTCAGTGTTGCACGGATTCCCTGCAACTGCTGATGTCCTGCCGGACTCAGAATTCAACACAAGGCTCAACCAAGGATTCTCAAGCGGGAATGTTAGGACTGGGTATGTGGCGGAGAGAGGTGTTTCCAAGCCCTTCCAAAACTGGAGGGAAGTCACTAACACCCTTGAAAGAAGGTGCTGCTGCTACTGGCAGGCTTGCTTTTAAAAGCACCGCTGCGGCTTAGCAGACATCTTCGTTCCCCTCCAGAACGACACGGCATCCTACCTCTAGCAGCGAAGGGTTACAAAGGATGGAATCCGGGAGGATGCAAGTACCGCTGCCACTTGGAATCCCCACCCTTGCAAACTCCCAGAAATCAGGAAAGCTGTCGTAAAAGGGAACCCTAACTTCCCACCTAATAAAACGCCTCATTTCTAGCCTATCTGACTGCAAGCTTATACGGACCAGGCAAGGGAATATACAGAATCAGGCTGAATAACCCACAGTGGTGGCAGAGTGTTGGTCCTTGCCCGTCCGGAGAGTAGCTAAAACACAATACGGTATGAACCTTAGCATAAGCAACATTAATACCACCTTCCTTAACATGGACAGATTGTAAAGTGCAGCTTTTCTTGGTGTGCTAGTTTATTTTTAATACAGAGGACAATCAATGTATGAGGCAAAGAACCCACGGCTGGAAAAAGATTAGCTTGTGCAACTCCAGAGTAAGAAGTTAAGCCCTCCCACCGTGCACCTACGGCTGTCTCCCTATGGCTGCAGAACCAACACGGCTACAAACACCCTTTGCTACTGGCAGGACAACAGGCCAAAATAATTCAGACTCTGTGAGGTGGAGGATTCAAGCTTTTTTGAAAAATGTTATTGGGACTTTCCAAATAATTGGGAGTAATTGTTTAGGAGGAGAGGACGACAGTATGTGAACACCTACCATATTTTCTTTCAAATAACTCTTCAACTTGCTTTCTCAAGTCTGTAATTCGGGCATTCCACTTCTCTGAAAGGAAAAATAACATTAGCCCAAGGTAAGATAGATCAAGCTTCTAAAATACCAAGCTTTAAATTTCTGGATGCTGCATTTTGCCTTTCTGCTCATGCACCACTACGAAAGGGAAACACTTAAAAAGGAACAGCTACACGCCTTCTGCAGACGAAAATGGGTAGATAAAAGCAGTTGGGATGCTTTGTCCAAATTGGTTTCTCCTTCGCAGGTCAGACTGCAGTTGGCTATCCTTGTGGTCAGGATCGGATAGGTTAGCAGCTACTGACCAGCTAACGCAGAGTCTAAAAAGTTTTAATGGGGAGGTTTGTTAAAAGGCCAGAGTTACAATGAGTGTGTGAAGCCGTATTGGCGGAAGTCTTAACTAAGCTGGTCAAGTGAGAATCGCACAGCCTTCCCTTCACTCCAGGACTGGGGCTGGTGGATTCATGCATCTATTTGGTGTCTGCTTCTCTAAGAAACCGGAGGCTGCCGGACACAAATCCGCGTCAAGCTGTTAATGCACTGAGATCTGAAGCACTTCATATTTTATCTACCTATGATTGCATCAGACAGCCTATGTTGCAGGCTGCAATTACACGAAGGGTGGAGTCCATGCTGACCTCCAGGCACATGCAAAGCACTCCTCCAGCCATCACCCCTCGGTACTGACAGGCCCTGAATTTTCAAGTATCCTTATTGTGCTTAGCCCAGCCCCAAACCCGACATTGCACCTTCATAAGCTTACCATAGCGCATTCGTGCATTTTGCCTCCACCAGGCTATTCTGCCCCCATTCAGGCAACCAACCACCACCTCCCCGACCCCCTTTTGCAATTCCATTGCCATTCCTGTTCAGACAAGCTTGGAGACCTGTCGTACATCCTCTCCAACCAGCCTCTGGGATTTTCCATTAATTCCAAACTTCTGATCCCGTGGACCCTAGAACAAAGCTCTCCCTGTAGTGCCACCACGTATGTTCCAGAGTCTTACCCTGGAGCATACGCTTTTCACCTAACTTCCCAGCCACAAGCCCTGGCACTTCTCACTGAAAGGTCTTGAGCAACAAAGTGAGGAAATATGTTAGAAAGCTGCTGCCAGTCTGCACTGGCAGCGCCGAGCCAGAAGGAGCCAGGCCGAAGCTTGGTCAAACTCAGCTTCATTTGTTCAAGCGAAGGTACACTCATCTTGACCTACCTTTTCCTCTCCCCGATCAGGATTCAAGAATAAATGCACCGCCAGCGTGCCACTCTAACAAAATGGAAAAGTTCGGGGTCATTTCACCCGTGAACGTACCAAAATTGAACTCTCTAGCTTTTCTTCTCCCAGCATTGGCAGTATCGTTGGGTGGCTCGACGCTCTTTGTCTTCTTGTGGGGTGGCAAGTAGTCGTCGTCGTCTTCAGATTGAAAAACACACACAGATGCATCACGGCGGCTGTTAGATTACATCCGAACGGCTTTCGAGATACTATGGTTTTAACTCAAATTATCTGCTGCTGGAGGAGGCAAGGTATTCCAAAGTACAAAATATCACATGCACTAGCCTTGCTGGTCAGAGCCTGGAATCCGACTTGGCTTATTTGATGATCAGCCTATGCTAAGGGGATTACAATGTGCACAGCAGCTTTGCCCAGTGTATTTTTAAGGTGGTCCTCTCCCACCCTCAAGGAGCACCCAGCAGTCCTGCTTTGGAGCTCTGCTGCAAGATGTATAAAAAGAGATATCAGATTCAGCCTTCAGAAAACTAACGTGTACCACAAAAAGAGAATAGGACAGAAGCTTCTCCCAGATCCAGAGGTTCAACAACAGTGCCACATAAGGGATAGAGTTTCAGGGGAAGTGACAGAATATGAGTTTCTATGGCAGTGATGAATACATGAATATAGACTGCAGGCAGCTGGGAAAAGGCTGGGAAAAATTTAAATGGCGATCATTTAAATGCTTTACATATAATCATGTTAACCCATGTTTTTAATTTTACAAAAATAAATAATCTTTCTCCCTCAAACAAGAAACTTGCTACATGTATTGGAAGAAAGTTAATTTACACATGTTTATGCAAACACCAACTAAAAATTATGGGGGGGGGAGGAAAGAAAGATGCCAGATGCGCGTGCACACACACACAGACACACACACACACACACGTGTGTTCCTAGCAGTTCTCCTCTCAGCAGCCCTCTCCCATGCAACACCCAAACTATTTTAGACATCTTCCAGAGTTTAAAGAGTTGTTTAAGAGCTGCCAAATGTGAAATGGACAGACACTCTGTGAATGCTGCCAGCTAACAAAGGATTTTGGACATTTAAATTTGAAAATGTTTTCAAAAATCTAACATACTGACTCTATCACTGCTAAAAAAAAAAAAATCAAAGTGATCGAAAGGATATGGGCCTTGAAAGTGAGCTGTACTCTGGGACCAACCCTCCACTCGTGGATCAAACCGCCACCTCAGCCAGTACGTCAAAGAGGGAAGAGGAGCCTTAACAGATACAGAGACAGGCCTGCATTCTTGCTCACCGGCCATATTCACAACCTCTGCCACTATACACAGAACCTAGTCCACTCGCTCCTCATGAGGAAAAGTTAGAAGCATCTCACATGTCCTTATGGGCAGGAACCTGGCTGTTTCCCTGCTACCAAGCAAAGGACAGTCCCTTTACCTGGCCTAAAAGGTCAGCAGCTCATCGCCAAAGCACTCTATGCAGCCACATCAGCAATGCTTGAAGTCAACCACACACTCACAGCTACTCCAAAGCCACCCTAGATAGCAGGACATCCTCGACTCCAACCTCAGAAAAATTCAAGCAACCTTGCTGCTAAACTTACCGGGACAACAAGATCTCCTAACTTTAAAGGCTCCATTTCAGAACTTAAAAAACCTTTGTGTCACTTCTGGCTCTGAGGACAACCAAGTACAGTCGTCCAAGAACACACCACCAAGTGCAGCTGTGCAATACGAAGGGGTGGGCAGAAGTAGGGGTAGGAGGGGGGAAGACAGGGATTTGAGGCAGGGGGCACGGTTCACGCGGAAAGTATGCGACGACCTAGCAGACTAGGCCTTTGACTTCACAATTCACTCACCACTTCGAAAAGGTTTCACAGGGTTTGCCAACTGCTCTGTTTTGCCTGCCCTGCCCCTCAAGACCCGAATGCTTCTTGAGGGATCAGGAAAAATGCGCTTCCTTCTTGCTATAAGCACCAGATGAACAGTCTTCTCAAGGGCTGTTGTTTCTCTGGATAACCTCCACAGCCTTCATCACCTCCCCAGAAAGCATACCTGATTAAAACAGTGCCTGTCCAACCACGTGCTTTGTTCTGAAATGCAGAGACAACCACCTTAAGAGCTAGTCGCACGGGGCTTCCAGTTTGCTTCCCACTGACTTCCCGTACTTCCTTAGGGAACATCCTTATAAAACTTTATGAGGGAGTGCCTTTGGGCTTTGGGGCGGCATAGCAGCGAAATAAATAAATAAAACCTGACAGCTCGCTTTCATTATTTCAGGAGGACTGGCTGGCCCAATACAATATTATCTTGCAGCATGAGAAAGGTTTGGGGGTGCAGGGTGGAGAGGCAGAGATGGAGGAGATGCAAACAGTGCCACATGACTGAGATTCTTCTGAAACAAGTGAGCAAAACAAAATGAGCTGAGAAAATGGCCAACCTTCAATGGTCACTTCCACTTCAGGATCCTCACTTGTTTCAGAAGTGGCATGTTGAGAAGAATCTGAAAAAAGCAGAACAAAAACCAGGTCTGAACGGCGCAGGCAGACTGTAAGAGCGGTTTTACTGCACAATGGCGAGTCAACACTTGTGTTGCACAGTATGAATAAAACAGACCAACACACACGCAGGCCAAATACTTTATCACGAGCTTTCCGCCCTATGGGGTGAGGGCACAAGAGTGGGGGATTCTCATACTAAGCTACTGATCCAGTAGCTGCTGGTTGCCTTGCGCAGGCTCACTGGGAGTTCTATTGTCCAATATTTTCTCATTCTCCACAAGTTAATGAAGATATGGTGTCTCTCTCTGACAATTACAATTACAGATTCAAAATTATAAAGGTTATAGCACTGTAGCATTTGTGAAATGTTGAGTATTAACAGTGAAGAAGAGACAGAAGAGTAGGACTGTATCTAGGAAGAGTATCTTCTCCGATGGGTCAGACGGATTTTACGAAATTATGCACCTACTGAGCTGCGAAGTCTCATACATTCGAGTCCCCGTCCCCTATTTTCAGCAGCAACATGGCAACATCACATTAAAAGACTGGACATCCCACCGAAGCTTTAGCAGACGTGTCAAGGATGTGTCAACTTGGGATGCCATTCTCTAATGTGCTGCTTTTGGTCTTCTTCCTACTCCTAATCTCCCACTCTAGTCAGGAAAAGTATCGAATCATGCGTAAGTGGAAGCACAGCTCTTAAAGAAATTTAGAAGGATCAGGATCAGGAAGAGGAGGAGGTGGAGAGATCGTTTCCAAAGTCCTGGGCTCCACCAAGCGGCTGTAATCTAGTTCCATGGTTGCATACTACTGGTCCTGCCTCGTCAGCTTCTACATTCCGACTGTGGTAAGAACAGATGCTTTCATTACTAAGCACTTATTATTAACTAAAACACCAAGGTCTGACCAATATAAAAAAGAGGCAAAATGGGGTGAAAATGCAGAACCCCTCTATTCTTTATGATGCAGAAATGTCTCTAGTATTATCTTAAAGCAGGTCTCTGTTTCCATCACATCTGTTCTCGAATTCAGAGAATTCATGATTTCAAAGTAGTTGAAACAGAGGAGGGCTGGGCTGAAAACACGGAAACCCAATTATTGTCCTCTGACAGAGACGAAACATGATGCAAAATGGCATTTTGAGATCCCCTTGTGTGGATCTGTATGGTCATTCACATCCGGGACTCGCATTTGGCTTTCAATCCCATTTTGGAAGGATTTCTATAAGAAAGGAAGAGTTACTGTTACTAACACACCATAAATATATGACTGGATTTCTGCTCTCCTGGAGCCACATGTCTCCGTTAAACTGAGAACTGCTGCAGGGGAGGGTGGACCAAAGGACTGTCCACACGCTGCCCGCCAAGTGCCTGTGGAGGCCTGCCCGCAAGTCAGGAGGGACAAGCACTCTTCCATTTGCGTTCCCTGGCAAGGAGAAGCTTCTCTGCCATGCTCGTTCTAATCCCCTTGTAAAGCAGTCCAAATTTATGGCCATCTCAATGTTTTGCCCTAACAAAACAGTCTGTGTAGGAAGTACTTCCTTGTGCTCGCCATGAATCTCAACACCCAAGCTGCACTGGATAATCCCACTCCCTTTATCGCAGGAAGGTGGGGGGGGGGGGAACCTCCCAAACTGCCCTCTCCACACCATGGCATCATGTGGATGCAGCTGTAGCATCGCCCTCTGTACTTGCCCTTTTCCTCACTAAGCTAATGGAAGGAAGGTGGGTTTTTCTTCTCCACATACCCACATGTGGGTTTTAGATTCGATCTACAGTAGCTGAAGGCTGCAACATCGAACCAGAAGGAACCCAGAAAGAAAGGACAATGTAGAGCAAACCTCAAACTATCAAGAACACACAGGTATGGTCACATTAGAAAACTGAACATCGCCTGGAATGCCCCTAAATGTCCCTCAGATATATCAGATCAATAATTTCAATAAAGAATGAAAAAAAAAGCTGTGCTAAGAATCTCTCAGAACATATTTTTAAACTTTCCCTATTGCTTTATTGTTTCCAGACATTTTACACCTCTAGTCTTTCTGGAAAAGTGTTATCCCTGATTTTTTTAATAAAGCATTCAGGGGGATTAAACCCTCAGTAAAATTATATAAATGCACTGACTTCTATTCTAAAAAGCAGTATTTCATAATTGAAAACTGTTCCTTTTTTTGGAGAGGATGGAAGAAAAAACGACCTTGAGAAAAATGGGGCAAGCCTTTTCCTGAAATTTTCCAGTTACTTTTTCTCCTGGGTCTTCAAATTTATACCCAGAACACAGGTTCATTTAGCAGTCTCTAAGGGGAAGCACTGTTAATAGTGTTCTTCTTCAGCTGGGCTGCCAATCTCACCTGCCACATTTAGACACAGATGGGTTTCTTTTCTTGGTGCATTGTATCTGGAGTTTTCTTTTGGAGATGGCAACCAGGTGAAAATTTTGATCTCTAAGTTTCAGGCCTGCCAAAATGTGTTTGTAAAAATCATAGAACACAACAGCAGAAAGCCAGTTTGGTATAATGGTAAGACTCCTGGGCTGAGGACTGGGGAGATCTGGGTTCTAGTCCTCGCTCAGCCACGGGGCTCACTGGGCGACTTTGGGCCTATCAGAGACTCTCAGCCCAACCTCACAGGGTTGTTGTTGTGAGGATAATATTGAGAGGAGGTGAAGGATGGAAGCCACCTTGAGTTCCTTGAGAGGAAAAAAGGTGGGATATAAATACAATAAACAAACATAACCTAACAAATCCTGAACAATCCAAAGCATGATCAACGGATGTCAAATGATGTTGTTAAAACAGTGTTAAATGATGCAGAAGCAGCACAACTGAATGACTGCCTGGCTTGACAAGGTAAGGCCTCATGGTCAAACCAGAAACATGGCTTCCCTGGGTCTGGACACTGCCTTGAACCAGCCCAGGATGAGGCATTTCCAGGTTCTGTTCAAAATGTACTCAACACACACGACAGGGCGAGTGGGAGATGACTCAACAGGCTGCCAACTTAATTTCTTCCAGTGTCTTGTAAAGGGAAGTATTCTTTGGGTTTGCCAAATCCATACAATGGTACCCCGAAAACGAGCTGATTCAAGGCCGGTTCTGTAACCCCGCTAACTTAGTTTAAAGCCAGCTAACTTGGAACAGCTGTAGGTGAGACCAAGCTGGGAGGCAGCCCCACCCTGCCTGCTCTCCGGAATTGAATGGCAGCACCCACCATTGTGTCATTTAAATCAACGGAGGTGCTACACCTCCCCTGGGAAGGCCAGGATGGGGTTCTCTGATACAGTCCCCTCCTTCTGTAAGCGCACTGCTTGGCGCTGAGCCAGGCAGCCTTTTTCAGTGCGGTATTCACACATGGGAATGGCATGAGCAAGAGGACTTCCCACATTCAGGGTATGAACAAATCCATGTCACAATGCACCACAACTCTGCACTGCCGGCCTCAGACAAACGAAAAATTATCTGCCCCCTTTGAAAAAACACACAAACAGTAAGGCAGGCTTAGAAATCATAAGGTCTGGAGTCACTGCAAAGCCAGGGGGGTGGGGGGTTTAGTCACTTTGAAAACCACATGCTGTCCTCACGCTTTCCAACTGAGCATGTTATGTAACAGTCTTGCCACTCAGGGCTGCTAGGAAAAAGTGCACAAAAAAGCAAACATTACTGTAGTCACAGAGGCAGTGGCGGGACAGAGGGGGCCAACTTCATCCGTTCTTTTCCAACAGCTTCTAGGGCCTACTAGAAGGTGCAGAAGGGGTTGAAAGGGACGGGAATTATCTCGCAAACACTGCTCAGTAATTGGCCACAATAAACATGCAGGAACAAGGAACACAATTCAAGGGGATGAAATAAAAATACAACCATGTGGAATACGGAAAAAAATGCAAGACATGGATACAATGGACACGTTTGCATCAAGTGCTCTTTTAATTTTTTAAAAAAACACCTTTCTGGAATTTATTTTTTTAATTTAAAAAGTTACATATCTCTAACCTTCTACGGGCAATTCCACATCTGTTCCTTCACTGCAATCGGAATGGGTGCTCCCTTTAGACAAATATAAACATACCATCAAAAAAAAGGTGGAGGATGCCAGTCAATACTTGACATTTCAGAATCAGTATCTCAAGTAGGCAGGCAGAACTGAAATTGTATGGCACTCTGGCATCTAAGCCATGCTGCACCATCACCTCGAGCAAACTCATTTAAAAAAAGAAGAATCCACAGACAGAAGTCATTCACTGAGTTCTACCCCGTGTCCTCTCTGACAAAGTGAAGGGCACGAAGCAGAGGAGGTCTTGGCCAATTACACCCCTTATGCAATGAAGAAGTGTTCGTTCAGGGAAGTCTGGCTCAATGTGGATAGCACAGTGTTCGAAAACAGACTTGTGGGAGGAAAGGAGAATAGGAAGCAGGTACAAAATTCTTCCAAGTTCTTACAAAGTCTTTCACACTTTTTTTTCATAATACTGAACTGTTCTCCATCCTGACTCAACAACATGGAATTCTGGAGAATATGGCACAATAAATCCATTCAAAATGTCATTTAATACAAAGTTTGTTTTTGAATCATTTTGATAAGCAGTTAAGTGTCTGTCTGTATTTTCCATGCGTGAGAAAAACTTTCAGGGCCTGAAGAAAAGAGCACAGCATCTCTGAGCAGACAACAGTCCCCTAAATGAAATCTCAAGCTAGAAAAGGGGACAGGATGAAGGGAGAATCACTGATCGCTTCCACAAAATTAAGGTCATAGAGTGCAACCCAAGTTGGAAAAACAGTACCAGTGGCAAACAGAACATTGCTACCAAAGCATCAATGCTGTTGCAAGAAATAGCACTGTGATGATGAACAAGTGAATTGCTATACCTGTGTAAGACTTTGCCATGGCGATTTTCTCATCAATCGCCGAAGTTTCTGAAGGACCTGCTTTGGTAGACAAAGACAGCCATAAAAAAAATCACTTTCCAAGTTCTCCCCATTACCATTACGAGAGCATGATCAGCTGAATCAAGCAATCACAGAAACAAAAATTTGCTGCACGGAGTTAAGAGCATGAAGGAGAGTTCCAACAATCATCTTGCTCTCCATCCTGGAAGATCCATTTATTGCACACAACATGCCGAACCACTGGTCGAGCTTCTAAGCATTCTAAACCCTGGCTGAGAGAGGCTTGTGTGCTTTCATTTTCTCTCTGTTCGGTGCTCCAGGCTGCATGTGTGCGTGTTTCTGGAGATGGAGCAAATCAGAACCGTCAATTTATAAAGCCAGGGCATAGTCAGCACAAGCTATGGGTGTGCAAATCCACTTCATGTTCATGGTTTCTAATTCAGGTTCAAACCAGTTTGCCTGTTCAGATGTCACGCCAAACCATAGTTTAGTGTCACATTTCAAGAAAGCCAAGGGGCACCTCAACTGTTTTGCTTTAGTTTTTGCCACCCACCCCCTCAAAACCCTCCCTTTGCTATTGAGGGATGGAAGCGCACGTCCATATGCCCACCGGTCAAGGTAAACTTCTCCATTTCTTGTCTCATCCGTTTGAGTTCTGACCTTTTCACAGTGCAGCAGAAGGGCCAGATCTGTCATACCCAACACATGCGGTAAGAGGTGGCCTTCCCCAGCTCCGAAATTGGTTTTAGACACAGATTAGTGTTACTCATCTTCCTCTTTCTATTTTTACCAAGAATGGTTTGCTGCTTCAAGCCCTAATTCCCATGACAAACCACATCAAGAGAAGCAGCAGCTGCCACGATCGCAAGCAGGGAGGTGCTCCACAGGTGTGAGACAATTCTGCACACCATTGGACAATCTCGATCCATTCCTGACCATTTGCTAGGACCGATCAGACGCTCACCTGCAGGGCCCATACAGTCCTGTCACTTAATCCACCTCTTAATTCAACCTCAGATTTGCTTCAGGAAGAAGCCTCTCTCCAACTCGGGGAAAAGAGTGACATGGAAGTAGCAGCGATGTTTGGAAGTCAACTATGAGGCATGCTTTAGAGGCTCGATTATCCCTTCCCTGTCTGAACAAAACCTCAGGAAATCATGCGGGGAATATGTGAGCCCTACGCCCCCCACCCCCCCATTTCTATACCACTTTCTCTACTAGCAGCATTTTGCTGCCGATCCACCCTCGCTGCATTGTCTTATGAAGCCAGCACTAGGCGACGGGTCATGGCACTGGGCACTGGGCCCAGCTAAAATGCACATCATGCACAATGCTCATTGCCTAGCAGAGTTTCCACAACTGGGCTATTATAAAAGGAAGGACAGCCAAAGGAATATACACAGAACCAAGCAATGAGGAGAGTCTACAAGAAGCTTTTCAGGAAATGATAGCAGAACACCCATCTGCAATTTACACACTCCAGTAAGTTGCACGCTCCAATAGCCCTTACTTCATATGACAAACGAAGGCAATTTCCATGAAACTCCCTTGCATGCTGCATGTGCAATTACAACCAGGGGCTATTTTCCGATTTGGTAGGGATTTTGCAGCGTGGGAAGAGAGGAAGCACAGCAGTTTACCTTGGAGGTCTATATGACAACAAATGCGTGTTGCATTTGTTTTGCGCCACACATTAAGAGCCACATCAGCCGGCAGTTCCTTGCTAAGCAAAGGGGTCTGTGCCTTCAGCATGCCAACTCTGCATGCAGGCCCATTTAATGGTTGGTTTCCACAGTCGCCCAGTCTGCTGAACTGGTGAAATCAGAGACATGAAGCGCTCCTATAGCCTGCACCCCCCTTTCCAAAGACAACCCAAGCCTGCTCACTTTGCAATGGCACCATTTCAGGATCATGGCATTATACTTATAGTACTTCTACGGTCACCCAGTTTATGCTAATCCACCGCAAACAGTCTTCGGGGGGGGGGGGGTTCAGACAAAACTGTGGCAGAACAAGGACCAAAAGCAGCAGACACAAGAGTAGGGCCATGCACAGGAATGTCACAAACAAGAGAACATTCTGCCTCAGTTTGTACTGGGAATCCTGTCTCAGCTCCCTCTGTCTAATGTTTCTGGCTCCTCTGCTAGCTTCTCCTCGCGGGGTATTTTATCACCCAAAGTTCTGCCCTGTACTGTAGAAGGCTTACACTCAGTGTTACCTGGAATGTTAAACTGATAATATTCGGGATCCTCTGATTCTTCTTTAACTGTTACCACCTCGAGCCCTGAAGAAGAAACAATGATCATCCATCTACACCGACAGCTGGAATTTTAAAATAAAACCCACCTCTTGGCTGTCTCAAGAAAATAAATGCATGCAATTTGAACGGCAATTAAGCAGGTTAAGATTCAAGTGCCCCCCGTATCAAGAGGACCCCCATCCAGTTGAAACACTTTATAGAAGCAGAGAAAAACAGAGAAGCATTTATCATTCTCTCTGTAATAGACACATTATGTTAATGCCAAAAAACAAAACAAAACTGTGCTTGAACAAGAAACTGCGACAAGGCCACACACCCATCTTCTCTCCTGTGTCTGTGGTTAACTGCTGTGCAGCTGGGCCCCAGCACAGGCTGTGAGCAAGTGAAGAAATGCCACACAGATATGCAAAGTGAGACCAGATGGGACAGCGAGAGCCGGCCTGCCTGGAAGCCTATTTACCGGGGCATTCCATTTCCAACCACAGCCAAAGATTTACGAATGCACAAAAGTTTGCTCAACCCAACTATATATGGTCCATATATGCCCGCCCGCCCGCCCCTTGAGATCAGCAGGAGAGGCCCTTCTCTGGGAACCCTCCGTGAAGGATATTAGGAGGGTAAGTACTCAGAGGAGGGCTTTCTCTGCGGTGGCGCCCAATCTATGGAATGCGCTCCCCAGAGAGGTCCGCCTGGCACCGTAGTTATTTGTTTTTTGGCGCCAGGCGAAGACCTTTTTATTCAAATGTTATTTTAATTGTTAATATTATTGATTGATTGATTGATTGGCCAGGTCGACTCAAATTTTATTGTTTTTATAATACCGCCTCGAGGCTTCGGTGAATGGGGCGGCATAGAAGCCACCTAAATAAATAAATAAATAAATAAACTAGGAACCATGGGTTGACTCAACCTGCGTACACCCACTGCTGTCCCTTCCCATTCTACAGCCCCGCCCTAACCTACAGTAGCCAATATTTATATATATCCTGCAAAACATTTAGAGATTTTGTTACATCACGCAACATAAAATTTATTTTGTTTAGCATTTATAATATTCTGCAAGCCATCCAGAGACGACAGTGATGGACGATCTATAAATTTCCGAAATAAATAAATAAGTGGGATTCTCTCCCCACAGCGCTGCCACCAATTACATGGAAGCTGCTCCTTCACTGGGCAATTCCACCCATAGGGGTTTTTTTTAAAAAAAATTATAGCAAATGCGTGTATTTCAGGACTACTATAGCACTCGTGTGGTCCCTTTTCTGCTGGCACCAATTCTGTTAATATATTTTAAAATTCCTAGTAGTTGGGATAAGAGATTTAGCTGTGAGGTGGGCACCAGTGCTAGAAACAGGGTGAACTATTAACCTAACAACTTATTAAAGGGATATTTTGTATGTAAGGAACAACTCAACTTTACTTTAGGGTCCTCTAAAGACTGCTTCCTGACAATTCTTCGGGACTTGAGAGACACTGCTGCTACTGCAGGACTTCTAAGAACTTCTGTTTCCACCTAGACCTCAGAGCTGCTCAGAGGTGAATTTACCTGACTGAGGCCACATCAGTCCATATTCAAAGCAACCCCCTACCTTCAGAATACCAGTAAGCACCTCCTGTACTGGTCCCGTAGTGGCTCTTGACAGGAGCAAAACAAGCCCCCTAACCCCAACCCCAGACATACTTTAGCCACACGGAGGCTAGAGGAGCAACTGTGGCAGAGGACAACGGTTCTCTCGAGGGCATTTCTTCACGTGCATGAAGTAGCATAAGGAACAAACAAGGGACTGCTAGAACTTCGCTAGCTCGTGGGGGCTTGGCTGCAGCCTCAAATGACAGCAGCACAAAAACCAGGCAGTAACGGCTCTCACCTTTAACAAAACCACCTTTCCAAAAGCCTCAGGAGCACCGTTGCAGAGAAGGGAGGACATGTCTTTCTAACTGGACGTGCTGGAAGCTGCCATGGTAAATACGCTCAGAGTGCCACTAGCCTATGCATCCAAATACTAGCTGGGTCACTTAAGCCAGGTGAGTCTCCCTCATTGAAGGGTGAGACTTTCGCTCACTATGTTCTGCTTTACCACCCAGAAGCAAGGAGTACAACTGAAATCTTTAATCTTAAACCTTAAGCACCCTTCTTCACTCTCCACATGCTCAGAAATACGTACCAGCTTCTTCACTGGGCTCAGTCTTCACCTGGATGGCAGTGCAACTAGACAAACATGTGAGAAAGAATATGTAACATTCACCAAATACAATCCTAAATAAACCATATAAATCAAGTCACATCTTTGCTTTCCCTCGCCCATATGGTCTACACTAATCGGCAGCTGCTGCTTGGACCTTTCCAGCCCAAGGCACTTTAAGCTGGAAGATGCTAGCTGAACCTGGACCCTTCCACAGGAAAAGCGCTTGCTTGGTCACTAAACTCTAGCTGTTCCCCATCAACTTGAAAAAAGTGAAAAAGTGCCAAAGGACACATCCCATGCGGCCACCTTCATATCGTACCTCAGCAACAGAAAGGCAAACACTGGAAAAATCACAGGGTAACACTTTCATCAGGATTCTGGCTCTGCCAAACATGTCTCTCTTCATGACCATGGGGACTGGAAGCTTTTATTGAGCCGCCCCGAGGCTTCGGCGAATGGGGCGGCATAAAAATGTTTTAATAAATAAATAATAAATAAATTTTGACCTGAAATTGCCCCGTGATCCTTACAATCACAAACAGAGGCCATCTGCCAGGTAAAGTAACTGAATGAAGAAGAGGCAAATACTGTTTGGTCTTTTGATGCCAAGCTGCTATCCAGCCTAAATGTGACTGATCCTGCTGCTTTTTTACTCCGTTGCTGCCTGTGCTTTCTTATACATTAGGATTTTTAAAAAGATGCTCTAAGTAGCCTCATTCTTACAATGGGAAGGCAGGAAATAACCATTTTAAATCAATGGATAAGGGAATGACTATCTTAAGTTTTCCCCACAGGGAAAAAATTTTCTATAATAACTGCAAGAAAACAGCTGGGGGTGGCGGGTGAAATCAACAGTCTTGGAAAAGCATAAAAGATACTGTACCTTCCACCTGGGGATGTTATTGTGTGTGTGGAGTCTCCCATTCGAGATCCTGAAAGCAAGGAAACCCTCTTGAGTTTTCAAAACACAAGAAAGCAAACTGCAGAGCTAGTGAAGTGGGGCATTCAGTTTACTCTTGATCATGTAATTCTACAGGAGTGTAAATAAACATAATTTGTAACCCACATGGTACTGACCTGAACACGTGTCCAAAAAACAGAACTCATTTCCAGCCAAGCACTGGAAATCTGGATGAGGAAAGGCCTCAGCAACACCAGTCGAGGCGTCATCTTAACCCCAACGATTTATGCTTCTATTCCGACCTTCCTCAAACGAGCCAAGGGCGACTTGGCTCTGTAAGCAGTTCAGGTCATGGAAACGCTCTCCAATGATCTGCCACAGACCTAACTGGGCTGGTCTAATAGCAAGCCTGTGCTCCAAAAGGGCACTGCGGCTCCTGCCTATTACTTGCCAATTTGGGCTTTTCGGAACTTGATACATGGAGCTTTGCATGTTATGCAACCTTTCCAAATTCATTTTTTTTAACTGGGAGACTGGCTTTACGTTAGAAGTGCTTAAAGTAAATTCTCCCACAAGAACTGCTGGGAGGAGAAGATACAAGAGAAATTAAACTGGACTCATGAGAGCAAAAAAAATCGAACAGTAGCCTGAAATCTGCTTGCAGAGTTGAGTAATTTGCAAATTCACGTCTGTTCTGGGTATCAGTGTAAAAGTGGAAAAAATACCACATTAAGAATTCAACAATCCTGCATCAAGAAATTTCTGAGGATCTGCACTGAACTGAGCTCACAGCCGTCCCCACACACTTTCTTCATTTCAGCAGTTTAAGGTAGGGGAGTCATTTGATTCCACTACTGGGAATCAAAAAGCCTTATAATCTATTTTGAGTCACCCAGAAATCCACCAGCAGACATCCACCTACTTCTGCCCACCCTGATTCAAAGCAGGAAAGCAGTTACTCACCTAACTGTTTCTTTGGCTCAAGGAAAGGCCTATGTTAAGAAACAGAAAATTCTGTTAGTTAAGAAAGAAATAATTCTTTTAACTTATGCAAGAGGCAATAGAGCTTTAGTGTTCCAAGCCCACCACACACGTTCCCTCTGCAATCCAACCACCAAGGTCAGCAGGTTACTATTACAATGCCCACTTTGGACTGTGGAACAAAAATGAGGACACTGGAGAGGGAAATTATGAACCAGGGACTTTCAAATTTCAAGCTCAGCCACAGTACATTTCCATCTGTGCATAACATGGACTTAAAAAGCAGAGTGAATTCTGCTGGCAGTTCTAGTTTAAACAAACTGTGCTTTGTTGAGGGGCTACTCTTTGCTGAGGCCAAGGCAACCAGGGACACTGGTGAAGAAGGTGAGTGACTTCACCCAGGCTCCCTCTGGTGACGATTCACCTGAGGGGAGGCCTGTGTGGTGTCCTTCCAGCCTGGCCACTGTCCGATCCATCCCAGAGTTTGACTGGAGGTGGGGAGGTGCTCCAAGAAAGCTGAAGCCTGTGTGGACAATCAGGCGTAAGGGAAGGAAACTAGTCCCTTTGCTTGGGGATCCAACATCTGCATGCAAAATTGCACCCCTGCTGGGAATGCAAAACCACTTTGCAGCAGAATATCCCATCACACCTTTTGATGACAAAGGAGATCCCAGATTTGTTTTCCAGAATCCACTTCAGTGTTGTGACATCATAGTTGGTGGGATGCTTGAATGCAAGTCCTTCTGGGAGGCCGTGCACCACCACTGCAGACGGGTCCCTTTGAATCTTGTCATACGGCACGGGAACAACAGTAGGTTTCCCTAAAGCTTTTCCTGGAAGAAGGAAAGCAATCCTTATTAATGAAGCACCCCTTTTGTGGGTTTTTTTGGAGAACAAGTTGAACTACAGTACACATGTCCCTTCTTTGATACCATTTTATTTGCCCTTGTTTTCCTTCACCCCTCATTTGTTGCTTCAAATCTGCTCAACTCCAGTATTTCAATCATTCTTCCAGGTGGGTGGGATCAATATTAGAACTACCTTCTAGGCAAAAAGATGTCTTTCCTGCAGAATGTTCCTGAAGCGAGATGAAAGACACACCTTCTTCTCAACACACCCTCAAAACTGAGGCCCTGCAGCACCAATTTGCCTTAAGAGACACTGTAGGAAATGTGTTTCATGCATTATGGCAGAAATGGCTCTCTCTGGGATCCTGTAATACTGTGGTGTTCATTATGGCTGTATATACCATGTGTGTGTTGTTTTGTAAAGAGTTCTTACCATCCTTTCCCCAGTGAAATAGATCTACCTATTTCTCTTTTTATGAAGTGGAGAGAAATTTACAAGAACCTAGAGTTCATTCTGTCCACCAAGCTAAGATCCAAGTCCCCTGTCAAGTGCCCATCTTGCACCTTCATGCTGTCACTGCCTCCCTCAAAGGGAGGCCCCGCTGCGTCTCAGTCCAGGAGAAGGGGCATTACAGTTCAACCTTACACTTCCACCAAGTTCCTGACACTTAAACACAGGTCTTTACCGTAACAAATGCAGAAGTAGTCTTCCACAGACTTCCTGAGGGCTTCCATTTCCACAATATCCACTGTCATCCTATTATCAAGCGATGTTGATTTCATTTTCTGCAGTTCTGCAGCCTTCGCCTCTTCATTAACACCTACAATGCAGAAAATATGAGATCTAAGGCCATCCTCTCTTGAAGGTGGAACTGTAGCAACTCTGATATGGGTATACAGGGTCTTCCTTGAGGGCTCTGCTCTGTGTGTTTGCACCATCCGAATGCAACAGATGCGAAAAGTTTTCAGTTGCAATACCAGTATTGCTGAATTCTCCAAGTTAGTCTTCCTTTCACTGCCTGTTGAGTAGTCATCCAAAGCTGCACTGGCCCAGCGTGTTTTGCTTTTGGACTCGTCAGATATCCAACACTTGGTTTGACTTAATTCCTGTCATTAAGTGTCGCTACAGAGTCAATTAATTGCTGTAATCATGTAGTTTTTGTGTGTTTTGTCCTGTATTATAATCAAGGTGGCATTTTAATTACAGGGCAGGGTGGGACTGTTCTAAAAAATGTGGGGGAAACCGCCTGGGAATTATTTCTGTAATGGTTTTACCTTTCAAGCAAGCACAATAAGGTACAGAAGATGCATGTGAGCAGAGAGATCAACATTGTTGCGGATTTTCTACAAGCTCTGAGTATGGACAGTCGCAAAGGCTCTCACACAGGGGGTGTTTTGCTTTCCCACTCCCAGAAGCCCCTGTTGGCAAGGCTAATGGCCAGGAATGCTGGAAGTCGAAGCCCTGAACTTCCGGAAAGCTACTTTCTGCCCATCCCTGCCCTCACAAACCACGAGCTGTTTCAGCCTGCTTATTTGACTCAAAACATTCTTGGCGTACTCCTGTCGAAGGTGTCCGTGTCTGCTGCCTTCCTTCCTGATTTCGGACGCATTGTAACTACTTCTGGTTAACCAAAACAGGGATGATGCCCGTCAGGCTCCAATCTCCGAAGCTCCTGTATATCCTGTGCCATTCCGGCAAGACCCAGGCAGGACAGGAGGAGAGGTAGCAGCCACTTGGTCCTGCTTGTGCATTCGGAATGGGAAGGACCACCGAGGCTGCCTAGCTCACTGCTAGGTGTGCACATGACAGGAGCAGAAAAGCTCCTGGACCTAGCGGATCCTTGCCTCCCTCTTCCCTGCCATAGCCCAACCCTCAAAACACCGAATTCCTCTCCCCCTGCGGTCGTGACACTAAACACAAGAGACGGAACGGGGCAGGGCTTTCTGCAGCAGCTGAAAAGAGGAGAGGCATGTGAGTGGGGATTCCACTCCTCCCCATCCTACATGCTGACAGTTTGGCCTACACACTCGGAGGCACGGGTCCCAGGATGCTACAGCCCCGCAGACCACGTCTAGAGGCAGCATGACTGCACTTTAAAAATAAACCTGAACAGATCTGAAGCCAAGACTCTCAACTTCCTTGAATGCGGGGCAGAGGGAAATGAAACATTACTCCGCGGATTTGCTGGAAGTGAAACCACAATTATTAACAGTCCTATGTTTGCATTCAACTTATACTGAGATGAAATAGACTTCTAGCTTTGTTTGGATTTGGCCTATTTTTAACCTTTTCTTTTACTTTGAGTATTACGTATACTTGTGGATTGATTTTATTTTCAACCCAACAGAACAGGTTAGATCCAGATTTAAACATACTGAGAATAAACCATCTGAAATCAGTGGAACAAGTGAATCATGTCTGACTTATCTCTCATAGATTGTAGTGGGTCCACTGTAAATATAACAAGGTCTGGTCTCAAATGCAGTCATGTTTCCCCTGAAAAACCATGCTGGCAGATATGAAATTGCCAGGCCTTAACAGTATTGTATTCAGACCCACTCACTGTTACAAATGAATTTTATGACATAGAGAGTGCTTAGGAGTGGAAAATTATCTGTGGAAAAATAAAATGGAAAATGGTCTGCCCTGCCCACATCCCTGGGTATTGCCACTCCTGTAACAACTGGGGGGGGGGGCAAGGAAAATCTATTTGTTCAGCCTTCCCCTAAAACGCTGTACCACCCGTCTTTCTTCCCATCAAATATTTCAGATTAAACACTGTATTGTGCATGATACTGGAAAGGAAAACATGAACTTGGGGCACTTTTTAAAGAACTGTTGCTTACTATTTGAAATAAACATGCTAAATTGGGTGACTCTCTCAGGTATCAGGAAATTTCTGAAGCAAATTACTCTAGGCAAATTCAATTTTTTCAAGCACCCAACATCACTGGGTAGGATCAACACAAGGGAGCAACCATTCACATTCAGACAGGAGGCGCTTCTCCTGCCTTCCCATCCCATGCCTCATTTCTCTTTTCCAACAACCACGCCATTATTCATAGGCGACTGCATTTTCTTCAGTCTGGATGAGGTGGGGTGGGGGGAAAAGGCTATGCGTCCCCCAAAGATTTCTCTTAAAGATCATTCGTCCTTCTGCCAACCCAGAGTTCCCCCAATCGCTTTTCAGTGGCTCTATTTCTGGCTTCAATCCTGCCAGCACTCACGATCATGCCACAAGTGACATTTTCAGCTGGAAGACAAGTAACACTGGCAAATACAGCATCGAACTATTCCCACATACTACAAATTATAAAATAGCCGCTGACTCATGTTTCCAAGATGGTCTGCTTAACATCTTCTTTGCCAGCAGAATGAAAGTGTTCTCTCCCCCCACCCCCACAGAGTATACAACAAGCTGCAGGAGACCAACATGTTGTGATTCCAACTTACAGTACTTCACAAAATCCTTCTGAAAATCTTTTCTTGTGTTGACAAAGGCTCTTCCTCTTTCAGTTCCCACCACAAACACATCTGTTTCATACACAGCAATGCAGGCGACTTCTGCCTTGGACTTGGCAAGCTCTTTGCACTGAGGAATTAAAAAAAAAAACCTGCTGCTAAGAACTGCAGTCGTAAGAGGTACAGCTAGTGCAGTTGTGTATGGGGGCTGCCTCATATCCACGATTTCTCACTGTATCATTCATTCTTCAGAGGTTTTCCAAGCAGAAGTCTTAACCTGTCCTGCAACCAGAATACTTCTAATTGGTGAAGCCAGGAGCTGGAAGTGGGAACTTACACAAGCAAAACAGATACATGGATAAGTGTGTTTATACTGGCTTTTCAAATGCCACAGCATTCTTCTTCAATGAAGTAGCAATGACTGCTAAAGTTGGAAGTTGTGGGTGTTGTTTATATAGCTGCCTTGCAGCAAGAGTGAAGTATTTTTATGGGCTGTCAAAATAACACCACAGATCTCTGAAATGCTCATTCTTGGGGCGGTTCTTTAATACTTTACATTAAAAAAAAAAAAACCTTTATGTCAAGATATCCCAGTCCTCACTGAAGCAGTACTTGTTTGTGCTGTACCACTCAGTCTGCAGTGACAGGAAACATGCCCACAGTAGAGAAGTAGCACATCAGAGAAAAGACCAGGCTGAAGCCAGAAGCGTAGACCCCTACACTTTTGATGTCTATTGTCATTTGCATTGTTCTCTTAAGATAGGCTCTGGCTAAATATAAGGGCCAAGCAACCCATAATATTCCTTGCTCTGACCTGGGTGAGAATCTGCACCCAGGTGCCTGTCCCAGCTGGCGCAGAAAGGTTCACACCAGCTGCCTCTGCACGGGTGGAAGGGTGACCCTGAAGACAGGCAGGTGGGAGCGCTGCAGAGGACGGGGAGGAGAGGAGCCTGGCACCAGCAAGCTGCGACAGGTCCTGGTAGGCAGTGCCTCCACCTCGTTCCTTCCCGCTCCGAGGCCACGCCCTGGCACTCTGCAGGACCAGAAAGGTGCCGAGACAGCCCTTGCTTCCGCACGCCTCCTGCCCTGCATAGGATGGCCATACACCTCCAAAATCAGAGGGTTGTGGGCACCCGAAGCTGGCTGTGCCCTCTACTGCCAGGGATTAAACAGCCTGTGATGGCAACAGCCCAGCGATCTGCAGCTATTACGAGTACAAAACAGGAGGGGGGGGGGGGGGGAGATCTCTGACATCAAGCTCACAATCCAAGAAGAGAAGAGATGACACAGAAAAAACCCCAAATGGGTAGGAAAAGGAGAAACCCTGTTCTTATAACGACCAGCAGAAATTCAGGTGCAATGCAGTCTGAAGTCCTCAATCCTATCATGAGTGACAGGAATGGAAGCAGTTCTAGAGGGAAGCCAAAAGTTGCTGGACGCCCAGCTGCACTGACAGAGCAGCCCTGCCTCCGATCCCTCTGTGTGCTACAGCCTGATGCTGGATTGAGACACGCTGTTCTAGACTGCCAACTACACCTCCTGACACATGCAAGTGAACGGATTTAAAGTATAGGTAACTAGAGGAATGAGAAGTAGTAAAGGCAACTAAAAAGCCACTGCTCTAGAGCACTGTCAAGAAACAGGCAGCACATTACCGATGCCGCCACCACGTCTTACCATTGACTCAAGGGCCGACATGAGGAAGGTGACAACCATTCTGCTTTCCGATGAGTCTTCATCGTGGCCAGATGCTGCCGCCATAGCTGCTTGAGCCATTTTTGCTGCAGACAGACAAGAAAACCATGGATCCAAATCATTCCAGGTACTCAACAAAGAAATCATTTACCCCTTCATTTATTGCAGAGTACAAAAGGAATAGCAAAACTAATTTGAGTCGTGTGACCAACTCATTTAGGGGAGTTTCCTAATGCAATTCCGAAATTTCAAAGCTAGGTAGGTATGCTGAAGGAGGGATGGGCAACTGCGAGAGGAAGTAACAATTCTCCTTCTGAGCCCTGTTAGAAAACAGGTAAAAGGACGGACTGGAAAGAATGATTTAGGCTTCAATGTAACTTGAGCCGCTCTCCACCTGCCTATGATGCCAACTGATGGCATTGGGACATAAAGTAAAATTAAAAATCTTTCATGTTTTGCCACTTACTGCTGTCTCCTTCCAGGTACCTGCCACCTAACTCCTTATCTTGCTTTGATCTACAGCAAGCGTAGACAACCAAACCATTTTTGCTTATGGAACAAACCACAAGTCGCCTAGAAGTTCTCTTTGAGACAACAGAGAGCCAAAGTGCCCACTACCCTTGTCTCTCTAATAGGGCTACACCACAGAGCTTTCCCACTTCTGCCCCCAGGGCTAGAAAGCTATTTATTGGCCTGCTTTTCAGGCACTAAAAGCCACAACTAAAGAGCCAGTTAGTATCAGTTCAAAGCATTAATAGTTTTTGTTTTAAAGCTATTACCTTGACAATGACTACATCATCAGGGCTTCAATTAAAAAGTTACGTATTCAAATCAGTTTGTATTTCAATTGCAATTTCATCAAAAAGAAGTCTATTATCAAAATCACAGTGTGGTGAAAGTCATTCCTAGGGTGCAGGCAAGGGAAGCACAGCAGATTCTCATCTTCATTCAGCCACTGAATCATCTTGGGCTGATCCCAACCCTGTGCACGTTTGGATGGTGAATGCTGAGAGTTGCAAGACTTTGTTCTGTCTCAGCTGGCCCGAGCACTGCCCCCCAATGTCTGCTGCAAGGACATAATATGCAGAGGAAAAGATCCAACTACACTGCCCTGAGCTATATGGAAAACAGGAGAATACAAACATTAGCCAATAATAAATCATGCTTTCTCTCTCCCCCCACAGGCTGCACCTAACCATCTCTGCCCCTGCCCCTGGAAAAGCTCTCTCTTTACACAAATATGGCTGGGCATCTGCACACAATAGGTAGCCTGTTAAAACCTGGCAGTGTGAGCACACGCAAATGCCCAGAGCGGAATTAGTGAAGGCAGTAAGCCAGAACACTTTGCTCCATAATCCACACCTCAGTCTTTGAGCAGACCTTGTACACACATATTCTGTAGATACACAACCGACAGTGAAACCTCCAGTGGCAAGAGGGAACTAATGGCTGCAGAGAAGGGTCATGCTCTATGGTAAGGCACGCAGAAAGTCTCCAGGAAGGGCTGTAAAATATGCCGAGTTGAATTCCTGTCAGTCAGCACAGAAAATACTGAGCTAGACCAGTAAGACTTGGGATTAACGCAGTTTCTCATGCTCATTCTGGTTTCTGAACATTCAGCCTGTTCTCCAGCAAAGCAGGATGCCCAGGTTAATTGGTTCCTAAATTTAATGTCTCCATCTAATCAACGATTTTCTCCCGGCCATCTAAAACTACAGCTTTATAATAGCAAATGGCAAAACAGCAATATCAAATTTAAAAGCTAGCCTAAATGATGTTTGCAGTAGTTTCAAAATAGCCCAACTATTAGCTGCCCACCCATCCAGGTCCCAGCTGCCCGCTGGGTGCACCACGGAACACATGCTGCTACTTTCCCACCCTACCTGGCCTCCAAAGAAGATGGGACCTTCCCCACCAGTATCTCTTCTAAAAGGGGCTTGCTGGTCATTCCGCAAGTGCAGTATTTTTAAGTACTCAACCTGCATCGCTGTGATACACACACTATCTCATCACAAGTCTAAGACAATGATAATCACGGCCTTCCACTGGCCCCTCTCCAGTGAGCAAGGCCATGGCTGTGATCAAGGGCACATCCTTTGGTGAGCCTCTGCTTTTGCTTTGCTCCGACAGCAACAGATATTTACTCAGTGGGGAGTTACTGCCCACTTGCTTTTTGCATGCACCACTTTAGTTGGCAAACCAGTCCCTCCGCCCATTCTCTTTCCCCAGGATCTCCCATTTCCAGAAGCCTGCCTGCATTAGATACAAATTCACAACCAGGATTCTCCACCTGCAATCCTAGCCCCCTAACCAGCATAACTCCAGGGAAACCTCAGCCTTCACCCTATGTGGACCTATTACAATAAGGTGCAGAACTACCGTATTTTTTGCTTTATAAGACACGACTGACCATAAGACACACCTAGTTTTTAAGAGGAGGAAAACAAGAAAAAAAATATTCTGAATCAAATGGGCACATAATCACAGGCACATTCCCCATCACTTCCCCATGGGCTGCACATCTGACAGACTTACTGCACACACATATTCGCTCTATAAGACGCACAGACATTTCCCCTTACTTTTGAGGGGGGAAAAAAGTGCATCTTCTGGAGCAAAAAATGCGGCATGTTTCCCCCCACCCACCCCATCAATACACACTGATGTCCCATGCTCTCCCATGAGTTCAAGAAACAGAAACAGGCTTTTATTTCTTAAAACTAATGAGAGTCCAGTTTGCATTTCCATTCCTATTCTCTGCACAGCTAAAATTGAACCTGAAACTGAAAAATGCATAACTGAAAAGTGGCGATATTTTCACAAGCTTGGGGCATTATTCCTAAAGACCCGAGACCTTTCCAGACAGAAAACTGGGTGGGAATGGGGAAATCAAACACATGTTTAACGTGAAGTGCTATTCTAATAGCACAGCATACAGCCATTCCCCACGAGGGAAGGATAGGATGAAAAAAGTAAGCTGCTCCTGAAGTTGGCAGCCATGCTGCCTACAGATATCCACTGTGGCTTTCTACGTTTGTGTTTTTATTTTACCCCTTCAAAACCCCACTAATGCACTCCACTTACAGGTCAATCCCATGCATATATACTCAGAAATCCCACTTAGTTCAGTGCAGCTTACCCTTAAAAGTTGTGCAATTACTGGGAGTAAATGCCACTGAAGATAATGGACTAAATTCCTAATAAACATGCTCAAGGTTACACTGCTAAGATCCTTGAGATGCCAGGAAATCTAAGACCACTGTGTAACCTCCCTGTTTTTCATTTTTAAAAACTGATTAAAATCTAGGAGAGTTTGAAGGCCTGTAAATCCATCAAGGATTTTTTTTAAGTGGGGGGGGGGAGTCCTACATTTTGGGAAAACATACCTGTCAAGGCTTTCGAGGGTGCTGGGAAGACAGCAAGGTCACAAGTACTATTCAAAAGCTCAAGAAACCACTTCCCACAACACACCTGGCAGATAAGGAACAGATGAAATGGCACTTTTCCCCACTACTCTAAGCAAGGTTTTAAGTGTTAGCAGAAAAATCATGTCTCTTTAAGAAGGGCACGAAGAGCGAATTATCACTTGGCTCTCCTGCAAAAACCCAACAAAGCAGCACACACAGTTCCTTAAAGTCCAGGCCCAACAATGAATATACAAAACATGGAAATGTAACTATAAATGACCCATTTCTTTTTGCTCCAAACAGCTTTCTGCAATGAATGTTTTCTGTGTAGTCTACTCGTATTTCAACAGCCCAAACACCTTTAAGAGGCAAGCCTAGATCGAAAATAAAGTCTATTAGAAATTAAAGCTTGATTTCAAGAGGCAGGTAATTCAGTATTTGTTTGACAGACTGCAGAACATTGGGCTGGGTCAGCAAGAACTGGGCTGAATCTGTACACAAACCATACACGTCCATATATGCCCAGCCGCCCCCTGAGATCGGCGGGAGAGGCCCTCCTCCGGGAGCCCTCAGTGAAGGAAATTAGGAGGGTGGCTACTCGGAGGAGGGCTTTCTCAGCGGTGGCGCCTAAGTTATGGAATGCGCTCCCCAGAGAGGTCCGCCTGGCGCCGTCGCTATTTGTTTTTCGGCGCCAGGCAAAGACCTTTTTATTTAAGCAGCATTTTAAATGTTAGTATTATTGAATTTTATTTGGCCAGGGCGGCTTATTTTATTTTACTGTATATATTTTAATTGTTATTCTTTTAATGTATTTTGTATTTTATTTGATGTTGTAAGCCGCCCCGAGGCCTCGGCAAGGGGCGGCATAGAAATGTTTTAATAAATAAAAAATAAATAAGATCATGGAGGATTGTCACACTGGTGTGTGCTTTATACACAGCAAAGACTTGCAAGGTACACACATGCAGATATGACAAATCTCTGTAGCAAAAAAATAAAGGAAAGGCACTAACACTCGAAGATTTCATAAGACAAAAGGTTTGTATATGAGGTTTGTATACAAAAGTTTGTATACAAAGAAGAAACACTGTTATAAGTCTCATGATACAACAACAACAAATTCCTATAGCACCCATAAATGAAACTTTCTGGGCGGTTCACAAAATTTAGGCCACCCATCTGGATTTCAATCAGGCCTGACCCTGTTTAGCTTCCAAGATTAGGCAGGGTCAGACACTTCAGGCTATGATATGTGGATGAGGTCCAAAAAAGTCAGTAAGCTAGAAAGAAAAACACCACGGGAATGAAAAGGGAAGAAGTTTTAAAAAACCAAAAGGAAATAAAGGGCTCTGAGAGTTGTGCTGGACAGTCCAATCAAAACATGAAACCACTGTGTGATCGCTGCAAAAAAGGCAAATGGAATTGAAAAGCTGATGGTCCATATCACAAAGCCTTAGGCTGCAGCCACATGTGAAATGCTGCAGACCATTCCGGCCACCATACTTCAAAAAGTATGATTATCAAGTTGGGCAAGGTACCCAACCTATCTTCTCCCTCTCTTCTACTGGAACCCAGAATCATTCAATGAAGTCGTTCAGGACAGACAAAAGGGCATTCTCCTTCTCACAGTGCCTAATTAAACTACGGACTTTGCTAACACAAAATGCAGTGACAGCCACCAACCTGAACCATTTTAAAAGAGGGTGAGACAAATTTAAGGTGAATAAGGCTATCACTGGCTACCGGTCATTATCCCTAATAGGACCTACTGTTTCAGAGGCACCGGACACCTCAGTGCCAGCTACTAGGAGCATGGCTGGGAAGATGGCACTGCTCCTGTTCTTTCCTGCCTGTGGAATTGTCGTCTGTATTATTGTGAGCTGCCTTGAGTGCTATTTGAGATGCAAATATCGATGCAGCATTGCAAATATTAAATACATATTTATATATTCATTCGATTTATATCCTGCGGGTACCTTATAAAGAGCTCAAAGTGGCTTACAACATTCTCCTCCTCCTCCTCCTCTCAACTGTGAGGCAGGCTGGACTGAGAGTTGGTTACTGGCTCAAAGTTACGCAGTTGGTGCCATGGCTGAGCAGGGACTAGAAACCAGGTCGCCTGAGTCACAGCCCTGCACTGTTATCCACTACACCACAGTCGCTCTATCTAGCTGGTCACTATGGGAACAGAATCTTGGACTAGAAATGCCATTCTCCTGACAAGCACAGTTTCTATGCTTTCATGGAAGACACCAGCAAAGCAACTCTATGTCCTATCCATCAGTAAGTGGAATAAATTATGGGGCACTTTTCCAAATCTGGGACTCTGTGGATGTTTTGGACCACTTCTATCTGCCCCAGTCAGATGATGAAAAGGATGAGATGAATTTCTCCTACACTGTCCCGAGTAATTCAGGCAAATTTGGACTAAATAAGTTGCAGGAAATAACCTCAAGCTGGTAAAGGTGGTAGACCTCTGTAAATGACCTCTTTAAATACATTTAAAATACAGAAAATATATTTAAAGTTTCCAAGCATCAGCAGCAACACCCTAGGCAACAACATCTATGCAGCAGGCAGGGATTGAGGCTTCACAACAAGCATCATAGATCAGAGACTGATCAGAGATTAGGTTCTGAGCCTCCGAATTCAGCACTCTGCCTGTTGAACCATAGTGACTAACTGTAGGAGAAAAGCTTTAGGAAATGATCTCTCTCCATCTGGAGTTAGGGTTCTGGGGAATTTAAAGAATGCACGACAGTATCAAAGAACTGTAGGTCACATCTTAACCTTTCTAAAAGTGAAACACAGAAAGACCATTCCATTGCATCGAGCAATTTCTTCGCAGAGCAGGAATATCTGCGGGCCAGCAAAGAGGGAACAGAAGCATGTTTATTCAATACAGGCACCTGTCCTTCAGGATAGACTTGCCCATTCTTAACTCAGAGAAGTCTGAATAAGATTTAAGGGTTTTCTGTACCTCAGAAGACCCAGAGTGACCAGAGAAAGGCATACACGAGACAAAGAGATCCACTCTAGCCCTGGTCCTGCTTAGCCACCCAATTCCCAACAACATCCAGTTGAGGGGGGAAGGATATTGTATGTAAAATCACAGCAGTAAGAGTCATGCTCCTCATTGCTGAGCAAGAATTGCGGTTTCAGAAGTAGATGGAGTCTTGGGGAGAAGAGACTATCCCTGAGTGATCAGTACAGAAGGGTCAAGACCACATGCAATCAAAAGGCAGGACCAGAACTTCTGACAGAGGAATGCAAAATGGCAGGGCAGCAAGCAAAAGTTATCAGGGAAATAAAGACTGCTTGAAATGTTATTCGCCAACCTCCTTCCACTGAGTGAATGGAATTTCACTATAGCCAGGACTGGGTGTTTGATCGTGGGAAGAAGTGTCCACACCATTATCCTAAATAAATAAATAAATAAATAAATAACCAACCAACCAACCAACCAGTGATCTTGAGAAGGTATACCTCCTCCTCTCCACAAAGGATTTGCAGTCAAACAGGCAGCCAAGAGGGGGAGAAAATGCTTCCCTTCTATGACATATAGGAAGAAAAGACTAGAAATGTGCTTACATCCTTGTTAGAAAAACTGGAGGCGGGGAGAGAAGAGATAACAGACTTAAACTACAATCCTATTATATACTTGGGAGTTAGACCAAAGAGTGGGACTTATTTCTGAGTAACCATGCATAGGGTCAGGCTGTAATCTCAGGCTTACTTTACTTCCATATAAATATGTCTACATTTATTTACCGCATTCATATTTAGAGAACCTCAGCAACATAGTGTCAGATTAAACAAACATACATTACCACCTTTCTGCCAGTACACTCAAGGTGGGTTAACAAATTTGCAAAATGGCTTACACCCCAAAATGAATTGGGGTAGTAGGAACAACATTTATATTCCTCATCACTTTCCAAAACAAGTAAGTAGATTTCCTACCAATCATGTAAAGAAAAGCAATGCACCGTGGAAGGGAGGGAAAACACGGTAGGAAGGGGAGTCTTTCTTCC